CAAACCTAAGTTTCCAGATTTGTTGCGTATTTGCTGAATATGGTCTATTCAAACCTAATATTTTTATACAAAATTGTATATATATATATTTTTTCGTATAAATTTCACACAGTTTTATATCGATTTCTCGAGACATGGAACATCAGATAGAACTCTTATGGATCTCTTTCAACTCCTAAAATGCTAAGGCTTCAGCCAATACCCCCTTTAATTTATCCTTTAAAGTCCATTTAAACTATTTTTACGCGCTAACTTTTGAATTGTTAAAAATAGTTTGAAGTTGTTACAAATTCAATTTACAGGAACAGGGAACACCTATAAAACGTTTCCTTACTGAATGTTTCTTTACTGAACGTTTCCACACAACGTTTCCTGTTAAAAGACATTTCCTGCCATAAACGGTTTTTGCTATATATCGTTTTAAAAGAAAACAAAATGCTTTGTATAGGAAACGTTTTGTGAGGAAAAATTCAGTAAGGAAACGTTCTGTTATGAAACGTTCTGTAAGGAAACGTTCTACAAGGAAACGTGCTGTAACAAAAGTTTCTGTAAGAAACATTTTGAAAGTGCTTGTAAATATCGCATCAAATTTTAGTTTTCTAGTCCTTATATTTTTGCACCCTGATGTCGCGGACCTTTTATATTGCAAACTAATTGAATAGAGGCAAATTTTGACATTTTCGAGGTTGAAAATATTCAGAAGTTAGTGTTTGTGGCATGTATTCAGTTTGTTTATTTCAAGTGTTTACACTTTTATCCATTTGTTTGAAATAGAAATATTCAAATATCTGCAAAACATTTATAGTGGCTCAAAAAATATGAGCTTTTTTAATTCTTTAACAGATTTTTTTAGGTGCCATTTCTTTTATAAATGAAGTAGAAGCCGCATCAGTACCGGTAGGATATTTTAGAACAATTTTTTTATTTAACGAAACAATGTTAGAATTGCGTCATTATATTTGAATTGGTTGGACAGCTAAACCAATATGGCAAAATAGCGCCAAATTGTTTCATGGCAACTTGTATACCCCCAGGTCACAGGAAGGGTTTTTGGACGCTCAAAATTGAAAAGTTTAGCTTGGAATAAAATCTTGACTTTTACTAATTTTAAAATCCCTCAATTTAAACTGAAAAATTCCGCAAAAATGGTTGTTTACTGTATTACGATAAAGATAAAGAGAATTTGTAAAAAAAAAAAGGTTTAAATTCTCACTAATTAAGCTTCGTCATATATATTTTATCTGTCTGTTTTTATCTATAAACGGCCCAAAGCTGCAAAACCGATTGGGCCCAAATATTTTATGCCAACTTTGAATCTAAAATTTGACTGCCTGCCCGTGGCACCCCGAATACATGAGTTATGCTCTTGCAGTATTTTAATTCAGGGTTCGCTCAACTCTACTTTATATGTCCATGACCAGGGTTTGATAACAAATGTTCTAAAAAGACGTTCTTGATGAGGTTATGTTTTTTAGTCTAATGAGGTTGGAGATAAAGTAGAATCAGTTTTGTTACAAGATTTACTGGATGCTATTTACACAGAAACTGTTATTATCAAAATAGATGTGGAGGGACATGAATGTAAGGTATAAAGGTTTCCAGAGACAGTATGTAGAGTTATTTCTGATATTATTGATTAAATGATTTCCCTAAATTATTCTTATTTTCTAAAAAAAATGATATAGATAATAACATATAAATTATTACAATGAATTTTTTTTATAATGGAAAGATTACTATCTTACCTTTCCACCCCCTTTATTCCTCTTTTCCTATTGTTCAATCCCCCTCTACCCTCTCACTCCCCCCTTCCCTTCACCCCTCTGTCTTTTGTGTGAATTTAAAGTAAACACACACATCACCCCATATCTCACACAATGAATGGTCACACGTAATGAACTCACTCGGTTTGGAGAAATTAACTTGGATAAATCAAAATTAAAAGTTCAAAGAAAGTTTTTCCCGGAAATAGAAGCGAAATAGAAAAGTTTGAAGATTTCTTGCAAAGGACCATAGGTTGTGCCGCAAACTAAAATTTGTTATCCCTATATCTTTGCAACCTTGTGCAAACCTTTGATATTTCAACTATTCGATTTAGCAGAATTCACAGTTTAAAATATTAAAGGTCTACGACATCGGGTTGAAAAGATAAAGGAATAAACTCAATTTTTTTAACCTGACGGATTAAATTCAAATTCTGTGACACATGTTTTTATATTCATTTTCAAGGGGTTTTCGAAAATGCTACTGTTAGATGTGTATAGTTTTTAAACAACAAAAACAATAAACTAACTCAAACCTGCCTTTCCTCCGGTGTCATGCATGGAGCGGACTCTTGCATGGGGCGGACTCCCCATAAGATTTTATCCATTTCAACACAATGTTAGACATAAGAAGCAATGTTATGACATTTTCTGTTATATATTAATGTATTTTCATTTGAAAAACACATTTAAAATTATCTATGTCTCGAGTAAATATTAATTCTTTGATGATTTGAAAGGAAGACGACATTTAAGCACTAAATGCGTATTTAAGTTTTAACCATTTCAACACAATGTTAGACACAAAAAGCAATGTTCTGACATTTTCCGATATCTATTAATGTACTTTGTTTTGAAAAACACATTAAAATAATCTATGTCTCGAGTAAATATTAATTTTTTAATGATTTGAAAGGAAGACGACATTTACAAACTAAATGCGTATTCAATATAAGTCAACTAATGATTTTTAAGTTTTTAGCATTTCTTGTTATGTCTAACATTGTGTTGAAATAGCTAAAACTTTAGGGGTCGAGTCTGCCCTATGAAAAAGTCCACTCCATACAGGACACCGGCAAAAAATGAAGTTAAGGTCCCTATAACCAGCTAATTATACACAGTGATATCTTAAATCTATTCGAATAAGTCTATGACTATAATGACAAATCGACTTTTCATAAATATAAACTTTATTCAAGAAATATTGAGATCTTTTTAAAACCGGTAGAAATAACGAAATTAATAAGCCATGAGGGGTAGGATGACAGACACAAACTTATTCACCTGTGTAATACACGTAAACGTTCAGTTTCTTTTCAATTGCCAGTGAAAACTACTAGACATAGTATATACATATAATATAATATAATATATACATAGATATACATAAATATAGAATATATATGTGTGTAAACTGAGCTGCCAGAGCGCTTCGCGCGCGTCTTCGATTTAAATTTCAATTGTGGCTCTTTTTTCATTTCTTCAAAGTTCACAAACCCACATAGCAGTTTTATTAATAGAATCAATTAAGAGGTTTAAAGTGACTGCAGACATAATTTAAATTCTGATTCACAACAATACCCTTAAAAGCTTTGTCTGATCAAGTATTGCATTCAATATCCTTGTTTCCCATTTTGCAAACTTATTATTTTCATTAGTGGTTTCTCCACAAAATTACGCATGTATTCAATTTAAGTATAATAATTTTATCGTATAAATGACGCCATAGATAGAAGTAAGATTAGTAGCGATCAAAAGCGCTTATTTTTCGCCGGACGCCTATACCCCCTTTCATTTTTCGCATTTACTCCCTTTAATTTTGACGTTCTGAGGTTTAAACTTCATGTTTGGCCGTAGATATTGGCTTTTATCCCCTTGTATGATAAAGCACTTTGTTTAATTAGCTGATTTTTTAATTGGAACCATGGTACCCCTGGGGGGACATCTAGACTTTAAAATTATGCCGGGTACTCCAGCTAGCTCTAGTATAACAAAAAATTAAGTTCTATATTTTCAGATCTAGCTGTTCAAAAATGGGATCCCATCTTATTTGCAGAAGATTAGAAGAAAGAAACGTTTCAAAGGTGGAAAGTGTACTTTTTGTTTGATTTTTTTTTGTTTCCCGGACTTATGAGTCTGCAGATATATTTGCTGGAAACATGATGAATAGAAAAGACTGTGGCTAGAAACTTTAATACAAGAAAGTGCACTAAAACATGTAAATGTATATTAGTGAGAAAAAAGTATTTAATTCTCAAAAACGTTTTCTATTTCATTTTGATTTATGTTAACTGCTTTATATTTTCAATTAAAGGATTTGAGTTTTTGCAACAAACTCTGATTTTCTAATTTCAATATCTTTGCAACCCAATGTCGCAGATCTTTAATATTTTAATCTATGAACGCTATTTGGTCAAATAATGTAAGTTTGAAATATCAAAGGTTTACATCATAAGGTTGCCAAGATATAGGTTTTACAAAAACTGAATTTGTGGCAAAGACTCAATTCCTTAGTTTTTTGTTTAACGGACTGTTGACTTATTTGGGTATATTTTATGGTAAACTAAATACCTTATTTGCTATTCATTGGTATTATTCTTAGTTTTCAAAGATATCTGTAGCTGGAGAAAAGTCCAATTTAATGGTTCAGAATTACGGAACGAGGAAGGGAAGGCAACCTTCTTTCACAGCTTCCGAACCTCATTTTACCTATTTGTGGCAGTGCGCGCTCCATAGGGCTTCCGAACCTGTCCCAAACTGTCTTCCGGGAATAATCTTGGCCGTTTATAATCGTCAATTTCTACTTAAAACAGGACTTATTCGTTTATTTAAGCACGCTAGTCCAAAATTGTTGTTAAAAAGTAAGACTAATACCAGTGAATAGCTAATAGGGTATTTAGCTTACCCTTAAAACAGCGGAATAAGTGAACTGTCCCTTTAATAATTTTGTTTCAGGCCCTACTTCCCTTTCTGCAAACCAAAATTAAGGAAATTAAAGTGATAAATTTAAACATTATTGAATTAAAAATGTTACCTGACAATTAAAGCTTTTTTTAAAACCACGATTTTTATTATAACTCAAAACAATTGTTTCCTTTGCAATATGATTTAAGAATATGGAAAACTTTACGATTTTTACATTTAGACAGCTTGCAGGAGTAAAATGTTTTTATTTAATATTTATTTTCTGATTAACATACATATAAATTTTAATTCAATTGTTAATTTGTCAGAGTAAATATGTTCCGTATATTCTGATGGAATGGAATGGAATATCAGAAAACTGGTATAATCATTGTCCAGATATAACTCCATTACTTCAGGTATAGTTATATCAGAGAAAGAGTCCTNCGAAAGATTTCTTTAAAGCCCCCCCCTGAACAGTCTCCTGTATACAAAGCCTTACGGTGGAGATTGAGGATCGCGCTTGCCGCAAAACACATTTGGGTGGCGGTGATTATTCGATGAGGAGTTTTGGTCACCCCCCTTCGTTTAGTAAGGCTCTTCGCTTTCCTCTGACTTCTTGGTACCTAGATCCTTAATGTATTTGTTTCCTTTCGGAAATACAGAAATGAAAAGACTGCTATGATATATGCTTTGGAATCAGAGATAACCCTGAACTTCACGGATCATAAATTAAATACAAAGAAATTGTATTATCATGTTACCTTTATCATCTTTAATCGACCAATTTCAGTAATCTAATCTTAAATAAAATGGGGAAATATATAATAATCAATTAAAAAGTACCCTTGCATGAGCACACAAAACACAGCAAATTTATGAGATTCATAAATTGTCTATAGTGATTCCTAGCGGTGTGTTTTCTAACTAAGTTGCTTGAGAGCACCGGTCAGCTGTTTTCGTGAATTTTCATGTATTTCGCGCATTTCAAACTTCTCTGAAATAATGTAGAAAGTGCAACCAAAAGCTATACTTATCTAATATGAGTTTAAAACTAAATTCATTTAACTCTAATGCATTAGATTTTGAGCCAGCTTATTTTAAAGTGCATAAACCTTTAAGGTTCTAACTTTTGATTTATTTTTAAGAAGAAATATTCATCACAGCTTTTTTAAATGAAAACAGACATCATCGTTTTTATTTTGTGTAAGTATATTTTGGAGCAAATGTTGATGAAGAACGATGATTTATCCAAAAAGATCAAAACTAATGATAATCGAAATTTGGCATGAAGTGTTCAAAACTTATGTCCTGACATATATGTATGTATGTATATATACTTATTTGTCAGCTAAAGCTGGCCAAACGGCTGGACCGTATGGACTGACATTTTTTTAGGGAACCCTTGAGTACGGGGTTACATCGGCTAAGAATCGATTTTTTTCTTCAAAATTCAAAATTTTTATTGATTTTTTTATTTATAAATCATGTATTCAGTCCTTTTTTCTTTCAAAATTCAATTTTTTCAAATGTTTCTAAAATTCCACGGGGAACCTGGCACCAGCTGGTAAATTCCACGGGGAACCGGGCACCAGCTAGTAAATTCCACGGGGAACGCCGGGCACCAGCTGGTATATTACGTCTTTAATAAATTAAAAATAATATATTTCAGGAATTTCATGACTCTAAATACTACCCTGCAGATTTTAACACCATGAGGGAAATTTCGTAAGTTTTATTGTAGGAAATTTTATTAAAAATGAATGATGTATAGACACAATCATTAGAATAAACGTCAATCTCAGATAATTGAATATCAGCTCCTTTTTGACAGAAAGCTTCTTTTACGGCTGCTACAATAAAAAATAATCAACTTTCATTAACTTTTTATGTCAGGTACTCCCATATCAGTGTCAAAAGTCGTCATCGGTTTTAAAAAAAGATTGCCAAGAAATTTGACTTCTTTAATATCATACGGGTTTATTCTAATTTACCACAAAGAAATATTTTAGTTTTAAAAATGTTTAGGATTTATTGCCACTAAGTCCGACTTTTTAACCCGTTTATATTTGCAACCCGATGTTGCAGACCTTTTGATTTCTATGAAAGCAAATAGTCTAATTTTGAAATATGAAAGGTTTACACCACCAGGTTACGATAACAGAGTTTGAGTTTGTGCCGGCAGTTCTTTAGTTTTGTTTCTTTTGTTTTAAAATATAAATTTCTTTATTTTAGAATTAAAAATGAGAGTTCCTGGTTAAATGTTTTATGGATACACAGAGATGCAAAACTGCAAACTTCACTAAATTCAGAAGATTAGTGAACAGACGACATCAGATAGAACTTATAGAAACTTATATAGAAAGGACTTACTATAACTAGTTAGGAACCCAGCTTTACCTGGACACTAACATTTCTCTAATAAGGCAACCCGATTGATTTGGAAATATTAAAGAAAAGAATATTCAAGCTACATGGGCTCCTGAGAATTATGATCATAAAAATGACAGGCATCCAAACAGAGATTACTACTTTTTATATCAATATAGAAGTAGTAATCTCTGTTAAATCTGTTTTATGTCCGATCATAACCCCTAGAACTATTTGCCTCAACTTTTAATTGGGAATACCGTTGGAACTTCAAACATCTTCTCAACTTTGATTGAAAATTCTAAGTTACCATACAAAGCTTGGTTCCCAAACTAAAGTAATAATTTACAGGTTGATCAAGTTCAAATAAATAAGTTCTGTGATTTTAAGTTTGGTTTGTACAACATTTAGTATAAATTCAATTTCAAATATTTTTTTAAAAATGCTCTACAGTCATGTTGTTAAATCTATATCTAGTTTAATTTACTAAAATGAAATAACAAAAAAAACTTAAAGGGACTGTAAGCTTATTTTTAAGTGACCCTCCATCTGTACCCTTATTAATAATTTGGAATATCTTTGCATCAATTGGATTTACGCTTACAATCCCTTTAAGATATAATTATATCAAATCATTTTTTACAATTCTTCTGAAATCTAACAAAAAAAACAATTTTTTTTTTCGAAGTCTGGTTTGATTGAGATATTGTTTAAATTTAATTTAATGAAAACCTCATTATTATAGACTTAGTATTTTTATCATTTCAGACTTAAAATGGGTCTAAATCAGCCTTACAAAAAATTTGAAAAGGTTTTTTGCTTTTTATATTAATAAATCATTGGTTTTCTAAATTTCCTTTTAATTTTTTCATTTCTAGAAGTCAATAACTTCATTTTACTGTCACTGGATCCAGATCCAACTAACAACTGTTTCCAGGGGCGTACTCAGGAATTTGTGCCGAGGATTGAAGGCTTAATTTTTTGGTCACACTCATTGTGGAATTAAGTGGACCAAAAAAAACCTGATATCCATATAAGAACTGAGTTCTTGCACCAAACTTTGATCTTCACCTTTACTTTTTCAAACTATGAATTCTGTATGATAAAATAGTCTAAATTTGAAATATCAAAGCTTTACACCCTCAGGATGTAAAGATATCGGGATTTGAATACAGATCCAGTAGTACGCCTCTTACAATATTATCAAGTTTTAGAAAATTTTCAAGTGTTTATAAACCCTAAATAAATACGTAAATCAGTTCTCCTTTGATAATTTTTTTGTTAGTGTAACATATTTTCAATATAAACAATAAACAAATAATAACTTTAAATCAACTTGACATAATAATTTTTCAATTTCAGTTAACAGTTGTCTTACTTTTGATTTTTGGTTTTGGAGTTTGTCTTCATACATCAATGAAAAGTAAGTAAAAAAATACTCTAAAATAAGAAGAATTAAATGTACTATTTTCAATACTTTTATTTTTTTGTTGAAAACAAAAAAAAATTTAAAATGATTATGTAATCGTTAATGACCCTTTAAAGTGTGTTAATAAGTTTTAAAAAATTATCTAAAATTTCGATCAAATTCTATCTTCAACTTGGTATAACTAACAATTTGGTAACCAACAATTTAGTAATACACAATTTAGTAAACAATTATTTGGGGTGTAGTAAGGAATTTTTCCAGGGGGGGGACTTACAGTTTTATCTTTCCAGGGGGGGGGGGGGGCTCTGGCTCAGCTGTTGTTGGGACCTAAAACCCCCTGGGAACCCACAAATTTCACTGGTCTTTGTTTATATCTATCCATGTTAATCTTTAAATACGTACATTTAACTTATACTACGCTGTAAACATGTGTGGAGATAGCTAAACTACGTTATATCTATCCTTGCTAATCTTATAATATATACATTAAGCTTAAACTATTCTGTATATATGTAATAGACATAAAACTTGTAATTACGTCGATTCATGTTAACTTGTAACATAAGATATCTCAAATAAATTAGTTGATCTATAGAGACTCTGCTTTGATTTGTTGAGAGTAATTTTGTTTTAGTTGAAACATAAGAGTTCAGTGCCCATTAGTTTGGCATCGATAGATTACTAGCTTGTGTCTGTACTGATAGATTACTAGCTTGTGTCTGTATTGATAGATTACTAGCTTGTGTCTGTATTGATAGATTACTAGCTTGTGTCTGTATTGATAGATTACTAGCTTGTGTCTGTATTGATAGATTACTAGCTTGTGTCTGTATTGATAGATTACTAGCTTGTGTCTGTATTGACATTCAGGGCCAGTATTATTTATGACAATAATCAGATAATCAAAACATATTAAAATAAAAAAATTTAATTTTAGGATTAATAGTTTTGGATTCATTTTCAAGAGATGCAGTAAATGAGATTAAAGGAATTGGCATTGTTTGATTTCTTTTTTATCAGAAATAGCATAGAATAGAATAGAATAGAATAGAATAGAATAGAATAGAATAGAATATAATAGAATAGAATAGAATAGAATAGAATAGAATAGAATAGAATAGAATAGAATAGAATAGAATAGAATAGAATAGAATAGAATAGAATAGAATAGAATAGCAAAAAAATAGAATAAAAAGAAAAATGAAAAAAGTTAAGTTCTATAAATTGAGGTAATGAACAAAAAGAATACAATTCCCAAAATGGAATGGAATATGGAATATTAAAGTAAATTTTTACCATAATCTGAATATTTAAAACGATCCAAATAATTGTTATTTCTATCGGATGTTTCTGTAACAAACAATACCAAATCTAGATGAAGATCTGCCTCAAGTTAAACCATTTGCATGTGTTCGGTAACAATTTTTCCAAAGAATTGAGTTTTTGCCAAGGAACCAAAATTTTGTTTTCCCTAAATCTGCTTTTATAAAACAAACTGCAGATGCTAATCGATCCAACAGAATTCATAGTTTGAAATATCAAAAAATTCGGTTGCAAAGATTAGAGATTAAAAAATCCGAATTTGTGGCAAAAAACTTAGATCCTTTAAACAAACTGTAGAAACTGATTATTTTGATCTCTAAAATTTACATTTTTATATTCAAATATATATATATATATATATTTATCATTTTATATCAACAAATTGAGATTGATTTAGTTTGAATTAAATATAATGATAAACATTTTGCAAGTAAATTTATTTTCAAAAAGTATTCATATAATTTACTTTTCAAAATAAAAGCTTATAATTTTCTAAATTTATAAACCATCCTTTATTTTAGAAATGGAAGATACTCCCTTCTAAACATTGAATTCATAATGTGCATTAAAGATTTAAAAGTTGATAAGGTAAACATTTTTATTATTAAATAAAAAAAATTTAATTTTGATAAAAAAGAAATTTCTAAAATTTTCATTTTTAGTTTATCTCCAAGAAGATTTTCGATGAAGGTTTGTAAATTCTAAATAGTAATATTTTAATATTTCATCACATACAGGGTGTCTCACAAAACAGGACAGTTTGTAAATAGTTTTTGATGTCGTATTCCATACACTATATAAGTTATTATTAAAGGCTTTTTGCAGTGTATTTCGTTTAGAAAATCTTTTGCTCAAATATATTTTACTTTGAAAAGAATTTTACTATAAAATGACTCCTATAAAATATTCCTATTTTTGTCTTTGGTATTCTAACAACTTAACAATATATGGAAGAAGGCATTCTGAACTATAATTTACCAACTGTCATGTTCCGTACGGGACACCATGTAGTTGCTGGCAAAGTAATTAACTCTATCCCGGTTGGGCTATTTTTTTTTTTGAGTAGGATCGAGGTTGTTTAAAAGAATTATGTTCATCTGTTTTAAAAAATATACATAATTGTTGACTTTAAAAGTTAATATGATAAAATAAAAAGAGATCTAAATGGATATTTCTAACATTTATTCAATAAAAAACGAAAGTTTTGAAATAGTTTCCCAAGTGACGTTAAAATTGGTTGGTTTAGAAATTAACAAAAGGAATAAATGACGACTATTTGGGGGGACTTCATGGGAGTGATGTAGAGCTTCATGTTGGTGGAGCAGATCAACAGGTACATCGCGCTGAGTATCTGCGTCATCATCATAAAGGAGTCATGGGGGTGATGTAGAGCTTCATGTTGGTGGAGCAGATCAACAGGTACGTTGCGCTGAGTATCTGCGTCATCATCATAAAGGAGTCATGGGGGTGATGTAGAGCTTCATGTTGGTGGAGCAGATCAACAGGAACTGGCAAGAGAGGATTGATAACACCTGGCTTATCCAACCTAGTAGGCAGAGATCGCGGTTTTATCATGATGCGATTGAGCGATTATGTTGTCTCTGGATTACATGATAAACTGGGAACCCTTCGGATAGCACGACTGCTGCTAGCTGAGTATCTGCGCCATCATCATAAAGGAGTCAGGGTTGAGACAGAGTTGTGAATGTCTTGAGTGTTTATAGCCGACTGAATACCGGGAGCTGGGATGAACGGGGATTTGACATGTGTGGTGTGCTTGCTTCATTGCGGAAATGGATCCTGTGTACACACACATCTAGAGAATTAACGTCGGCATTTGAGTCGGTACAATCGTCTTCCTTATATTTCGAATTTGTTTTAACAATAATATCCTTTTATTTTAAATATAGAATTACAACTATAAAGCATCTCTTACCCCCTCTAAGTACTCTAAGTGAGGTGCTGATATGAGCCAGCATATTCAATTCAATATTCAATATTCATAATTAAGAAACTTGTTGTGTTGTTAATTTTGTGTATTTTTTGCTACAAAATACATTCAATTCAATTTATGAAATTGAACAATTAAACCAGAGGAAAATATTTCAGCTGAAGTTTTCCTGATCCAAAAATTGGGATATTTTGAAAAAATCCTTTCCAGAATTTTACTATTATTATAGGATCTTGGGAGAAATCCGAAGTTGAACTGGTTCTTAGACTTCCTAGCTATTATCCTCAAGCCACTCTATTGGGTAAAGTAATTAACTAGTTCTTAGACTTCTTAGCTATTATCCTCAAGCTATTATATTGGGTGAAGTAATTAACTAGTTCGTAATCTTCTTAGCGATTATCCAAAAGCACAAAAAAACATTAGTAGATGAATGTTTATAATTGTTGGGTATTGTCCTACATATTGTCCTACATATTGTCCTACATATTTTCCTACATATTTTCCTACATATTGTCCTACATATTGTCCAACATATTGTCCTACATATTGTCCTACAAATTGTCCAACATATTGTCCACCATATTGTTCCACATAGTGTCCGACATATTGTCCTACATATTGTCCTACATATTTTCCTACATATTGTCTTACATATTGTCCGACATATTATCCTTCATATTGTTCTACATATTGTCATACATATTGTCCTACATATTGTCCTACATATTTTCCTACAAATTTTCATACATATTGTCCTACATATTGTCCTACATATTGTCCTACATATTGTCCTACAAATTTTCCTACATATTGTCCTACATATTGTCCTACATATTGTCCGACATATTGTCCTACATATTGTCCTACATATTGTCCCACATATTGTCCTACATATTTTCCTACAAATTTTCCTACATATTGTCCAACATATTGTCCTACATATTATCCTACATATTGTCCTACATATTATCCTACATATTGTCCCACATATTGTCCTACATATTGTCCAACATATGGTCCTACATATTGTCCTACATATTGTCCAACATACTGTCCTACATATTGTCCTACATATTGTCCTACATATTGTCCTAAATATTGTCCTACATATTGTCCTACATATTGTCCTACATATTGTCATACATATTGTCCTACATATTGTCCTACATATTGTCCTACATATTGTCCAACATATTGTCCTACATATTGTCCTAAATATTGTCCAACATATTGTCCAACATATTGTCCTACATATTGTCCTACATATTATTCTACATATTGTCCTACATATTGTCCTACATATTGTCCTACTTATTGAAAATATGATGTCGTTCATTCCCATTAGGAAATGTATACAGGGTGACTCACAAAGTATGAAACTTCTCAGACAACTCTACGAAATTTATGTTTGTTCAGATATAGGATCTAATATTGGTTCCTTCGGTCTTGCGGCAGCTACTGCTAATTACAAGTAATATAAATATTTAAATTATGGATTAAATATTGCAACTTTAGGCCCCCTACTAAACTCAGATATAGCCGTAGCCCTAAAATTAAAGGGACTGTAAGCGTAATTTTAAGTGAACCTTCATTCAAAGATAACAATACCCGGTAAAAGATAAGATCGTTTTTCTGACGCGAAAATTGTCTGACTCCATTGTTTCTTGTAAGCAAGAAATACGCCAGTAACTTTTGCAGAGAACCCGCAAATGAAAATAAAAAATTTAAATAAACAAAATATGCAAATATATCAAATTCAGGCTTGATCAGTTATACATCGGCCGTTGCCGTCTTTGCAAGGATCGAGGTTCATTTGAAATTACGCTTACAGTCCTTTTGATTGTAAATCATGTAAAGTTTAAACTTGTTACTATGGATTCTGTATTTGGAATGAATAGTTTACATTTAAAGAATACTTTCATATGTGGAGTAGAAATTGTAGGGTTTGAAGGTATTAATGTGATAATTATGAGGCTCAGAGGTCATTTAATAGCGGCTCATCACAATCAAACACCCCTACCTCATCAGTTATTTTTCCATATATTTACAATCAATTTATTTCAATGACAATTATCTTCAATATTCTAGAGTTGTGTCTGTTGACCCCTCAACCTTAAATCTTGGATATCAAAGGAAAAATACAAATTTAGCTAATTTTAGACTAAAGTAGATACGTATCCATCTTTCAAGCATGGACAGTGCCCTTGGAGGAAAGAACAGAATTAGAAATAATCAACTTAATCTTTCTTATCTTTATAATAAAACAAGACATTATATATGTTCCCTCTTTTCGGCCAAACGGGTGGACCGAATGAGCTGACACACATGGGATTTAGTTAATTTCTAGACATTGTAATATTATTCCCAGGAAATCAATATCTCTCGGATCCAATTTTATATTATTATAAAGATTTATTCACACACAAAGATATAAATACATATATAAATGGTGTAGTTTAAATTTGTTTAAATAAATTTTTGAAAATACAGGTTTCCAAAGGAAAAGAGCAAAATATGCAAAATTATGCACAAATAGACAACATTGATCATTAATGATACATCACTCATTATATAACATATTTATCATTTCAGTTATTACGTAATCATCGAATCATTCAACATATAAATTATTCATTCTTGTAAAACCGGAACTTTCCATGCAAGTTCCAATAGGACATCAAAATATTTCATTTGTTTCTTAACTAACATTTTACTAAGATCCGAAGGATTTACAGAACAATCATTTGCAATAAAAAAATAAATTTCTGCCAAGAACTGTGATGAGGTCATTTTTACATAAATTAGAAAGAAATCTAATGCAAAGCTTAGAACTTGCTTCAATAGTCTCATAGAAAAACACACATCTACACACATCTGCTAGGTAACATAGTTTTTACATGTAAACATTGTGAAATACTTTAATCAAGTACGTATGCGTATCTCTAGGTACATTAAAAAGAATTCTAATGACAGTGTTCCATGCTGTATACAATTTTGAAACACATTGGGAACTCAAGTCCCAAATACTAGATCCATAAAAACTAGAACAATAAATATTATACAGTTTCAAAATAACATCAGGACTGTTAAAATAAAATTCTTGGTTAAGGGAATGAATTTTTGAAATGAAAATAGCTCGTTTTTTATTGCAATCTATGGTCATTGAATTATCACTTTGCAGAACATTTCCTAAATGTTTTAAGCATAGAGAATAGAATATATATTAGAGGGGAATTTAAACAATCTCTCGGTACGAATTTTTTCAGTCCCTTTCAGCCTGAAAGGGAGTTCAAAGTGTACAAATCATGTAAATGTTCACAAATTAAATGCAGTAGAGTACATTAATACAGTATGTTCCCTATAACTATCCATTTCAATTTCGAATTTTTTAAAGCTGTTAAATAAACTTAAGAGTTTTATGAGTTCAACTGTATAAAATGGATTAAAAATATTAAGTTTATGACCATCCTCAATTTTGGTGTAAAAAAAGTTGGACTATATGTTGATATCTTGAATATTTCTAAAATATTGGGTTTCCCTCTTTGATTACCTGCAGGCTACAATTATAAGAATATGCTTTTAATCAAAAATTCATTCAATAAAATTGGGGTTATTTCATTATAATTAATCCATTCTTTAGAAAAAATAAGGCATTTAGTTTTACATTTTTCGATTCGAATATTTGTACTTAATTTCAGTTTAGTAGCTTTGGCAGATGCCCATATAGACACCCTGGATTTGGCATCCAATCGTTGAACAGCGTAATATCTTGATAACTTTGTCAATGTAAATACAGAATAGCACAGGGGAAGAAATTGCTCCTTGTCTGACTCCATTTTGTACATTGAAGGTATTTGAGAACGCATTACCCCATCTAACATTACTTTTTTGATTTGAGTAAATGAACATTAAACACCTTAATGCTAGAGGTGAAACACCTCTCTCCAATAACTCTGAGAAGAGCACATCCCATGACACAAGATCAAATGCCTTACTCAGATCCATTGCAGAAACATAAACTGCTCTACCAGCTCTGTTGTAATAATCCACTACAGAGTTGTTCCCCAGCTGCACATTGTAGTACTGGCTAGCTTCTGAAAACCAAACTGAAGTTCATCTGTGGTCAGCTTATCAGTCTATAATTCATACCAACCGGTCAAACCATTTTAGAATCAAGCTGGCAATGGCAATTGCCCTGTAATTGTCACTGATAGCAATGACATCTAAGCTGTATAGAAAGCAATGTCATCTAACTTATATACAAATGAATTTTTAATATGGTGTCTTTATCATTTAACAATTAAATAAATTAAGAAATTTAATAACAAATGAACTTATGAAATATAAAATTATTCCCCAAAATGTCCAAAATGCAAAAATTTGGGCCTGATCGGTTCAGCCGTTTTGACGTTTATTGGATACAAACAAACAGACAAACAGACAAACACCAAGACAAGCCAAAGGAATTGAGTTTTTGCCACAACCTCAAATTTTCTAATTTCTATATCTCTGCAACCAGTGGGTGTAAACCTTTGATATTTCAAACTTAGATTATTTGACCTAACAGAATTAATAGTTTGAAATATCTAAGGTCTACGACATTGGGTTGCCAAGATATAGGGACAAGAAAATTTGAGTTTGTGGCAAAAACTCAGTTCCTTTATATATAGATATGGAGTTTGAAACTAAATATGTTCTAAAAGTCACTGTGCAGATTTGCCAATTGAGACGTATCAGTTATTCGCTCAATCAAGAGTAAATAATTTAAACTTCTTTATGTAAAATTGCCATCCCTAAATTGACAAGATAAAAATAATACTTACTTAGATTTAAACTTTTTTTTGAGACTTATTTATTGTATTTTCATTTTTGGATAGATTAAGTTCAGAATTACAGGGTACTCAAGAAAACATTAGGTTTATTGCAAACAGTGTCAGGTAAACTGCTTAAAGAGAATTTGACACTTCTTTCATGAGGTAGCATGTTAAATTGACAGCGGTACCTCTAAAAGCTTTGTCTGATCAAATATTAAAAATGAGGAGGTTCTCGAATTGAAATAAAAAAAAGAAAATTCCATAGATAAAGATAGATTGCGCACAAGACAACATTTGTCATCTTAAAAGATATAAATGTACAGAGATGTATTAAAGATATTCCTATTATATAGATTAACTAGGTCGGTTGTGAACATTGGCTGTTCTTATGTCATTGAGTACTTGTGGTGTACATGAGTTCTGTGAAAAGAAATTTAAGTTAGTTTAGTCCTTCTCATGTCCTTCTTCAATTCTCGTCAATATGATATATTGCTCAGTGAAATAATTTGATATTCTCAAATTAAAATTCACTCCTGAGTGGTTTAATAATTATGAAATCCATTAAAACACCAAACCACCCCGCTTATCATGGAAGTACACTTTGACCCCTAGAAGTATGAGTTCGCGGACTGTGCAATTCTTGGTGATTTTGCGTACATAAGCTATGTTTATTTATTTATCTATGGAAAGTTCTGAGAATTAAAAACACTTCTTCACCTAGAAATTACTGATCACATTTTTGATCAGATAAAGGTTTTAAAGGTACCGTTGTGAATCGGACCATGTGTGCACTCGAGATTACATGATTTCATTTATTTTTATTATTTTAGTGATGAGAAATGTTCCATGTACGCTTGGAACTGGAAACCTGATAATGAGGGTGAATACAGTTTTTACTTTATTTTTTACCCCAAAAATACTGAATCTTTCAACAGTAAAGTTTAGAGGGGGGGGATCAAATTAGATTTCACAGAATATAGTGATAAAAAGATTGCAAATAAACTGCATAAGTAAAATAAATTTTGACAAAAATGGCATTTATACAATTACTTAAATCATAGGTAGATGTTAGTTTTTTTTGTTAATTTGTCAATTTTTCTTGTAGGTGCTATGATATTTATCACTGAAGAACGTGCCAAGACAGTATCAGTAAGATTGTTTCTTCTTATTTTTTGTAATTTTTTAATACATACATTAACGATGAAGATGGGCACGTTCAATTTCTTTTATTTCGTTCATTCATTGTTTATGAAAGACACATTTCGGTCGTTTTCAATCTATTTCGTTCGTTTTCTTACTGAACAATCGTTTAGTAAAATTTCTTTCGTTCTTAAAATGTTGTTCGTTCAAAAAACGATGTCCATCTTTAACTAACGATATTTGTCGACTTTATTTTCGGTGACTTTACATCTAAAACCTTTTTATCTTCTGTGATTTCTCTGTAGAAGTGCTTGCGTGGATTTATAGAGAGACAAAGCAAATGAATTTGACAGAATTGAATTTTTCTGAAATGGACTGTAAGCGTAATTTCAAGTGACCATCCATGTTAAGAAGACAATGCCTGATTTTCAGCTGTACCCTTGAAACCTTTATCTGATCAATAATGTGCAGGGGAGGATATGGTCGTTTGTCAGGATTTGAAAGTGTTTATTTCTTATAATTATTATATATATTTTCTTGGAGTAGAAATGCTCAAGTCACTTTTGTACAGAAACAACAATTGAAAATAAACAGTTTTCAAAATTATAAAATTGATATCTAATTCATACTTGATCAGTCAAAGTTTACAAGGGTACCGTTGTATAGATCGGTGATTGCCATCTTTGCATGGAGTGTCATTTAAAATTACGCTTCCAATACCAATAAAAAAAATTAAGCTTCCTTATTGTTACTCGATCAGATTAAGGTTCAGAATGTAATTGTGAATAAACACGGGAATGGAGAGACGCCTTGAATATCATCTTTGATTTCCGATAATTAATAAATAAATCACATAATTAATAATTAATAAATGACATAAAATTCATCAAAAAAAGATTGAACGTCTAAATAGCTTTCAATAGTTTAGAATGTCTTCTTTCATAATTTGTTAAAATTTTTGAAACCAAAGACAATAATAAAAATATTATATAGGAGTCATAATATCGTAAAATTGATTTCAAATTAAAATATATTAAAGCAAAAGATTTGTTTAACAAAATAAACTGCAAAAAGCCTTTAATATCTAATACCATGCTTCGTGGGACACCCTGTATTAAACATTCGAACAGTTTTGTTGATTTTAAATAAACTGGAATCTGGACAAAGAAATGGAGTCTTTAGCTAGCTTAAATGAATTTTTATCACATTTTTAGAAATTTTTTAATATTTATTCCAATTTTTATAAAATGTCTTTGAAATAATGTTTGATTTCTCAGGCTGGCGAGCTAGGAGATAAAGTAAGATCAGTTCTGTTACAAGATCTACTGGATTCTGTTCAGACAGAAACTGTAATTATCAAAATAGACATTGAAGGGTTCGAGTGTAAGGTACATTTATGAAAAAATAGGACCCAAATTTTAGATTTTAAATTTTAAAAAATCGAAATTTTCTTAACCCTGGAGTTTTTTTTGTTAAATTATAAATATCTTAAATCAAATAACATTCAAATTTCAGGTCCTGCTACCATACCTTGAGAACAAAACTAAGGAATTCATAATTATAATTTTTTATCTAAACATAAATATTCAGAATTATAATAAATATCTGTTAAATTATACCTAAACATAAATATTCAGATTTATAATAAATAATCGGTCTCTCTACATGATGAGAAACGCTAAAAACGTTCTCTCTCTCTCAGGTTTAAAATCTTTATACTATGCTCTTTTTCACCCTCACCTACTTTATTGTCTTCCTGTCTATAGTTGTACTAGTAGCAAGAATCTTAACTTGATCCGTACTAAACAAAAGCAAGCTGTGAGAATTATCTGCAATGCTAAATATAACGCCCATACTCAACCATTGTTCTTTAAGCTGAATATTCTGCCCCTTGATGATCTAATTTTACAGCAAAATATGATTTTTATGTTTTCTTATGATAGAAATATCTTACCTAATTCCTTCCAGGATTATTTTTTACAAAACTCTGAACGAGGGTTGAATCCAGGACTTAGAAATGCTAATGATTATTTTGTACCCGGAGTCAGATCTGAATTTCTTAGAAGATTCCCCTTTGTATCTGTTCCTTCCGCATGGAATAATTTTCCTGTTGAAATTAAGCAGTCCNGTAGTGTGTAGTGTGTAGTGTGTAGTGTGTAGTGTGTAGTGTGTAGTGTGTAGTGTGTAGTGTGTAGTGTGTAGTGTGTAGTGTGTAGTGTGTAGTGTGTAGTGTGTAGGTGTGTAGAGAGGATCCCAACTCCAAAATCAGTTCTAGGCAATGAAAATAATGCAAAAAAGTCATTCCCCCTTCCGGCTTCCCTCTCAATGACATATACTAGACTCCCCACAAAGGATGCAACTTCAGAGACGATCGTACGGAATTTGATTAGTCCGTTTTCTTGCATTCAGGGTTCCTTCCAGGCAAAAGCTGGAATAATTTTGTGCTTAATCAATTATTAAATCTTTAAAATACTCAATTATATGCAAAATCCAAAAATCAAGCTTAAAATAATCATATATTCTTTGCTGTCAAATCCCAGACACTGTCAAATCCTGAATTCCAAACATTGTCGAATACAAAACATTGTCAAATACAGAAACACTGTCAAATCCAAAACATCGTTAAATCTCAACCAAAAATTTCAAATCCAAATCCCATGAAACTATTGAAAAAGAAGAAGGTTTTTTTGTATATTACTTTTAAGCATTGAACATTAGCCCACTATTCATTATGATTAAAAAAGATTTCCAATTAAAATCTGAAGTCTCATTATCTTTACAAAATCGTTAAAAAAACATTTAGAGAGATTTTAGGTACTTTCCCTAGTGCAATTTCCCAAAGTGGCAACTTTCCAAGTCTGTTCTAGTCACAGCGCTCGACCCCCCCCCCCCCCCCCCCCCCCCCCCCCTCCCCCATTGTAGTCCTAACCTAACGTTTGGGGAGTTTCAGCTTAAGAAATTGCACATTTGGGAAGTTGCCCTTGGGAAAATGACTTTTGGAAAATACCAAACACCATTTGAGACTATTTTCATGACAGTGATCCAAATTATACCTTCTATATGTCATATTTAAAACTATTTTGTGAAAAATGATTGATATTGAAATTACGAATTGTAAGGATAAATATGTTCCCTATATTCTAATGGAGTGGATTTTGATCTCCCTTAATTGGTTTAAAGCTTGTCCTGACATTCAACCTTTGATTCAGGTAATTCTTAGAGGGACAATTATTATATTTTTTTATTATTTGTAATTATAATTATTATTTTATAATTATTATAGTTACATTATAGTTACCTGATTAATAATGTGGAGATATCGAATTGTCTTTCTAGCTTGAAAACTGTTAAATTATGACAATTTCCTAGAAGTCTTAAGAGCAGAAATGCTTGTTACATTATAGAGAACCCGCAATTGAAAATAATAAGTAGAAGATAATTGATTTCTCCAGGGGGGGTTCTGTTGAGAATCTGACGTGCCACTCTATAAATGAAGAAATAAATATTTTCATTTAATTTTTTGCATTTTAATTTTTAATTTGCTTTAATTAAAACTGATAAGGGAAAAAGCTGTAGTTTTTAAAAATTATCAACATTTTAGACTAAAATAAACAATTTAGACAAAACTACACATTTTAGACTAAAATAAACATTTTAGACTAAAATAAACACTTTAGACTTTAATAAACATATTAGGCTAAAATAAACATTTATACTAAAATAAACATTTTAAACTAAAATAAACATTTTAGACTAAAATAAACATTTAATACTAAAATAAACATTTTAGACTAATAAACATTCTAGCCTAAAATAAACATTTTAGACTAAAATAAACATTTTAGACTAAAATAAACATTTTAGACTAAAATAAACATTTAAGACTAAAATAAACATTTTATACTAAAATAAACATTTTATACTAAAATAAACATTCTAGCCTAAAATAAACATTTTAGACTAAAATAAACATTTTAGACTAAAATAAACATTTTAGACTAAAATAACATTTTATACTAAAATAAACATTTTAGAATAAAATAAACATTTTAGACTAAAATAACCATTTTATACTAAAATAAACATTTTAGACTAAAATAAACATTTTAGACTTAAATAAACATTCTAAACTAAAATAAACATTTTAGACTAAAATAAACATTTTAGACTAAAATAAACATTTTAGACTTAAATACACATTCTAGCCTAAAATAAACATTTTAGACTAATAAACATTTTAGATTAAAATAAACATTTTAGACTAAAATTAACATTTCAGACTAAAAAAGACAAAAAAATCAAATCACGTAAAAATTTTCTTTGATAATGTTAATGTGCAGTGGCAGGAAATTATATCAGAACAATGAAGACGACTTTTTTATTAAAGTTTTGATCGTTAACAACCTTTATTTGTATGACAATTTTACAAGGAGTCAAACAGAAGCTTTTTTATTTGACAGCTTCTCTTGACTTCTAAGTTCTTGTGTCCACTATCCATGCTGTTTAACAATTGGATATAAATAAAAATTTTAATCGAAAGTCGTCTTCAAAGTAGTGATATTATCGCCTACCACTGTATTATAGCAGAATTTTGATAATACTTGTTTAAATAAAAACTCTTACAAAGTTATATTTTTTGTTTCAAGGGAAACACTTCAAAGTAAAAGTTTATCATTGTAATTAAATTTGAAAAAAGATTGGAAACATTTTTAAATTTAAAAATCTAATCTTGATTTTATTTTATTTATTGTAATCTAAATCCTTGATTTTGAAATCTTTTACAGGAATTTGTGAATTCTGGATACTATCCTGCTGATTTGAATACCATGGATGAACTTTTGTAAGTTAAAAAATTACATCAACCCCTGCCCCCCCCCCCCCTAATACCAAAGAAGGGAAAAGTAGTTAAACAGTGATAACCAGAAAACTCTGGAAAAGTAAGCCAAGTTTAAGAATCATGCGCTATAAACTTTAAAAAGTCCAATGAGCATATGAGACACGGCAATAATTTAGTTCAAACAGACCCAATACACTAAATCAATGAAATTATAAGTGTCTAGTAATACTATTTACAATATCAAATACACTAATGTATTGCTTTAATGTGGTCCTCTCATTCCACTGTTTTCTGGTTATTACTGTATACATAAGAACAATTTGTTCCATGGAGCAGAAAAACAAATTTGTCCAATAATTTGTGCATTTGATGTTGTACAAAGGAAAAAGTTTTACCAGTGGCAGATCTTTTAAAATCATTTCCCCGGTCCCCAGTGGGGGGGGGGGGGGGGGGTAATTTTTAATCTATACACCCCAGAGCCCAAAACTTAAGACAGGGTATCATTGTGAAAACCAGTTTTGAAACCCGGGTTTCACGAATGGGGTAAGGCAGTTTTGTGAATATCAATATTTCTGTTTTGAAATATTATTTTATTTAGTTTATTCATATTCTCGATGTTTTCGAATCTCTTAAATAAAATTCTACACAAATATTAAGACCCCAAAAAAGGAAACTCGGGAGTTTCGTTCAACGATACTCTTTTAAATTTCGGGCTCTGGGGTCTTACTGTACAAATTGAAAAAATGTTATTTTTATATTCAGCGTTGAAGATGAAAGAGAATGGACGAATGTTTTGTGGATTCACGCAAAGGAACAAATTAGATTTCCTCATTTACAATCACAAAAATAATAGAAATAATAATAATACAAAAATTAAGAAATACTTATTTCTTTGCCACCACGCCGAATTCCAACAAACTTAAAGACCAACAATTGTATTATTCGGAAAAAGATGTAAAAATTTTATTATCTGGAAAAAGATGTAAATATGTATTATCTGGAAAAAGATATAAAAATGTATTATTGTACTATCTGGCTTGAAAAAGTTATAAACTTTGTATTTTCTGGAAAAATATGAAATGTATGCTATCTTCAAAAAGATATAAAGTTTTATTATTGTATTATCAGAAAAAAGTTTTAAAAATTATATTACTTGGAGAAAATATAAATTTTTTCTATCTGGAAAAAGATATAAAAATTGTATTATCTGAAAAAGATAAAAACATTGTGCTTTCTGAAAAAGATATAAAATTTGTTAATTAAATTTTTTTTTGTATTGGAATTATCAGAAGTAAACACTTTACAAACCTTGAAAAACGACAATATCTTCCACATTTTGATCAGATTAAGGTACCGTTTTAGATCAGACATTATACCCTCTTTGCTTAAAGATTTAATTGAAAATTCGCTTACAATCTCTTTAACTACCCATTCTTATCCTGTATGTGCTGTTAATATGTGCATTTAAATCCCAGGGTGGTTGTTGAGTGGTCACATCGATCACAATTATTACTTATTTTTAGTGCTCACTTCTAATATGATCGACTAGTCTAGGCCTAGGGTTTTTATATTAATCTTTACTTCGATCACAGGGCCGGATATCCCAACTTGTTTACACCCTTATCGGCCATCATGATGAACGATCTGATCAAGATTCTTCAACTGTTAAGTTACTTGTTTAGAATATTCACATTAATAACAAGGATAAAATAATTCCTAGTGCCGATCTTTGAGTGGGATGAAAGGGAGATAAAGGATGAATGAGATATCCTTTTTTGTAAAGGTTAATATGGATTTTTGTCCGTTATGGTTTCTTTCATTAGATTTTTGGCAGTTAATCCAAAATAATCACATACATATATATATATATTAATCTTCGATGTGTACTTTAAACTTTGTATAATTACTTCTAATTCGGTCTGAACATGGTTCTTTAGATCACTTGATTGTGTAGCAACATGTTCACACTTAAACATGGGTATTACTATTCTGTTATTAATGCAACATATCATACTATTGTAGTACTTTATACTTATGAGCTCTTCTTGGTAAATTTAATGTAAAACTAGCTGTATATAGAACTGTGCTATAAATATTCAACGGTTCCCGAATTTTTTCTCAGATCATGAATTTTAAAATCTTCCGATCGAGGTGCAACAAACCCACATTCACAACAAGGATAACAACTTTTTTTCCTTCTACAGTCATAAACAGAAACTCTGTAATAGGAAGATGATTTTAAGACTCAAGTTATGACTTGAAATAGTCCAATTGAACTTGCACAGTTCACTTAATTAGTGATTTAAATAAGTGTGTAGTAATACTTTTTGTTTTGTAAAAACCTAAAAAACATAAGTATTGCTATAAAGTCGTCTTCATATTTCACAGTTTTCTGGGAATCATCAGATGTTCTTTATGCATGTTAATTGCAATGCGCAGTTCAAGAATCAAAGTTACAATGATACAAAATAAATGGAATGAAACATATAAATAATAGAAAAACGTTATTTAACAAAAAAATCTGAGAAATATCGGATTGTATCCTACAGATAAGAAACGAAACGTTAAAATTGTATTCGAAAAATTCACTGGTCCTTGAAAACCTATTTAAAATCTGTCTGTTAATAAAACAGTAAAAGTTATCAATGAAAATAAATAAATATTTTTTCTGAATTTAATAATTGACAGACTCCGGGAGTGCAACGTGTCGCCCCCCCCCCTGAGATTTTGAAGAAAATAATATTCCCAATTGGCTACTATCTTTTTCTTAATTATACTATATTATACAATTTAAACATTTTTGTGATTCACGCACATTTTCTAGTATCAGTCACAGTTTTAAAATATTGCTTTTCAATGTTACAAATTCCCTCGATTTCCCCTCTTTTTCTACAACATTAACTGCGCATAGGTAGGGATGGATCGTTTCCACATTTTTGAAAAACGATAGAAAAAACTAAACGATCATTTTTCTAAACGGTTGTTTAAAAATTATCTTTTTTTAAAAACCGCCGTTTTCAAAAAACAATTGTTTTTCGTTAAAAAAAAAAAAAGTTTTTGTTCAAAAAAAATTATTTTGAAAACAACCCGTCTTTAACGGCTGTTAATGACAAACCTTCGTTAACAGCCTTTTAAAAAGAGAAAATTTATGTTTTGGTTGGAAAATCTGAAAATCTGAGGTTAGAAAACGGCGACGAACCCTTCGTTTGTCAAAAATGATTTTTTGAAAGTTCATAAACCATTGGTTTGTTTTAAAAACGCTATTTTTTTTAAAAAACACGACGATCGTTTTTTAGAAAAAATATAAAACGAAACGAAAAACGATCGTTTTTGAAAACGATTAACAACCCTACCGGCACAGTGCATAGATCATCAAAAACCTAACTTTTAATTTTTAGAATAAATCCATCATTTTTGCTTAGACAAAAGTTGTGTCGGGCACCGTTGTGAATCGAACTAGATACTCGACAAAACAAATGACTACTTGCAAAAAACGTGTAAAGTCCCATTATTAAACAAACAACACATGTCTGATTAATTCAAGTCATTATAATTGATTAATAAATATAATTAAAAAACTACTTTTATTTTAGTTTGAATTGTTAACAAGCTTTTTAAAAATTACAAATTTACAAGTAAATAAAGAGAGGTTTTTCTAGGCGACAGCTTCAATTTGTTTCTATGTGTTCTTTGTATCCATTGTTAACTAAAACTTTAAATCGGAAGTAGTCTTCATTATATTGATAAATCGCCGTATTAAAACAAATTATTTAAACATTGCCATATTTCCCCGGCAAAATGATACCAATGTTGGAAATAAAAATTAAAAAATTTTTTTTCAGAAGATATCAGGTTTTCTTACAATAATCATAAAGACTCGTGGATAGAAAAGGTTTTATTTTAAGCCTTGTGTACTGTGTGTGTGAAACATCAACAAAAACTTTTTCGCATTTTTAATCAAAATTTTTTAATATACTTATTCAAGAAACATGGAAATATTAATAAATTTCAAACTGAAATTAAACCCTTACCTTAAAAATCTTTTAAAGATTTTTTCGAATAAAAAAAAATTGGAAAATTTAAACTTAAATTAAAAGTTCTTGAAAACCTGTAAAAAACCGAAATTTACTCATCATGTTCTTTTAGTTGTTTTTAAAAATCTAAAATATTCATTATTTTAGTCCATTTACTTTGGAAAAAAGGTAATAAGTAAATATTTGTTTCTATACTTTTTCGGGCATATTTTACGTAATCTATAATTTGTATTCAATAGAGAAATTATTGGTTGAACAAAACATAACTTATTTATTTATTTCTAGAAAATCAAGCTTTAAACTAACTAAATAAATGACCTAACATTCAAATATGACAATATACGCCGGCGAGCGACATAAATTAAAATATAGAACAAGAAGTATATTTTGATAGAAGTTAGAACTTTTGTGTTGTACATCTAAGGATCAAGCATTGAACTCCATCTGTTGCTGATTAATTTAACCCTGTTCGATATTCCGTAGGGAGCTGGAATCTTGTCAACCCTCTTCTCAGTATGAACGAAGCGTGGATGGATGAAAGTGCTGCCAGATTACAACCCCTGGTAGATCAATATAAGCCCATACAACACCAAACTTTCGCAATAGAAAAATTACGAGATTTGATTGTAACAACCCGATCATGTCCTGGGGACAAAAAAATCTCTTTTTTGATATTCCGTAATGATCATACCCGGCATGCACTGCTTAGAAATAGGATCTATTTAATTTTATGCGAATCCAGGACATGAAATTTCTTAACGATTAACTGTTGTTTAATAAAAAAGAAGAATTTTCTATTTAATTTTTTTTTTCTAAAACTAGATGAACTATTCAGAAATCGAGACATTTTTAATAATCTACCTTTACAGTTACAATATTTAATAGGGTTTAGAGAGCAAAACGTTTTTATACTGTTTTTGGTTGATATTTTGCTCCCCTAGGTACGGATTCGCATATTTTTTTCAGTTCCAGTCCCAGTAAGCCTAAATGTTGCGGATTCAACGTATCCGTATCATAAGCACTGCCTGCAAAGAAACTTTAGTCGAGGGAAAAAGCATTGATCCTCAATTTTAAAAGTGACCACGTTGTATATCGCGATTAAACGTGATCAAGACTAACACAAAAGTTCCGATATCAAATCAGACTAGGACGGATATTGAAGTCAGTTAAAAAGCAGAAATATCACAAATCTATTTGATAAAGTATGGAAAAAGGCACTTTTCGCTTGATCTCTTTAGGACCAGCTTAAAAAAGGTTAATTCTTACAAAAATAAATCTGAGGTTTTCTTTAAAATTTATGATCCAAACATCACTATCAAGACTTTGGGTAGATAAGCTCTCGATGTTTGCATTTCTTGTGTAGCTTTAGATCATTGGCTGTTGTTGAAGAATGTCCACATCGATCACAAGGATACCTCAATTTAATATGTTTGATTTCAATGTGTCTTCTTACACTCCATGGCGAGGTCGTGGTGAATTCACATTGACCACAGGGATATCTCACTCCGGCATGTTTTATCTGATTGTGCTTCTTTAGATTATTCAATGTTGTTGCCGCGAATTCACAATTACTACATGGATATCTTATTCCTTCGTGTTTGCTCTGAATATGCCGTTTTAAAGTTCTCACTGTGGTTGCTGAGTATTCACATTTAGAACATGAAAAACAAGCTCCTTCATGTTTAAGTTTTTTCGGTGGATTCTGTTGGTGAAGTGGAAAATGCGGAAAATCCTCTGCAAAAGTAATCTCTTGATCTAAAAATGACATACCATCAAAAGTTTTGTCAAGAAATTAATGAGATAGCAATGATTGTTTTTATAAATTGGTGATTTTCAATTGTGGTTTCTTGTGCATTTCCATTGCGGGAAAACGACGATATATCTTACGAATTGATCAAATTAAGAATTTTAAGGGTATCGTTGTAAACCGGGCATAGCCTTCTTTAAATTGAGGGTGGCTTGAAAATATCCATGTCCCTTTAGTGATAACAAATTAAAAGTATAAAAAAGATTTTTTTAAATGAGATAAATTTGTGCTTCAACGTTCCCTTGACCATGAATTTCAAGAATGAGCTTTCACCTTTAATCTCCAAGAGTTCAACCTTTAATTCTCCTTCCTGTACATAAACTAGAGATTGTTCTTCTACAGCTGATTCTGGACAGATTTCTTCCTTTATGCACCCTTCCTCTTTTATTTTTATATCGCTAGCATTCTCACCCATTTTCTCTGAAAGTATGATTTGAACATTGAAATGATTCTTTAGTAACATCTTAGGTACTATGTAGTTCCCTAAATAATGATAATGATATAAGCTACAATAATTACAAAAAAAGGAGTCCGTCCTAGTATACGATCCAAAAATCGTATACTAGGAAATTACCAATTAAAACTTCAAATTCAATGATGTGAAAAATATTTCAAATTGTACATAAAAATAGTTCAAATGAATAAAAGAATCGAATCCTTGAAAAATTACCAATCAACTTTATTAATATAAATGATGAAAACTTTGAGAACTATTCCCAGGCAACGCAATGTTTACATGAACATCGATCATATGTGTTTACAACTGAACTACGGCACGGGTTGAATGAAGTGTAAATTAGATATCAGGTGTGCGAGGTGGGGAAAGATTTTCTTCATGTTTACCTATTTTAGCCCAAAAATGATAAAAAAAACATTTGGAACTGTATTACTGCAGATTAGATCCGATTCATCTAAATCTACAAAATTGATCCCCCCATTACTCATATAAATAAACGCAGCGTTTAGTAAAATCAGCTGTTATAAACTTGAAGAAAATCTTTCCCTTCCTCGCACGTCTGATGTTTTCCCTTCAACCCCAAACTACCTGTCTACTACAAAAAGACGACTTGGAAGACGACATTTCAATAGTTCAGAAAAAGTTATTCTAATCAATTGTATTGTACAGGCAAGGGTGTCCAATAAACATGAAAAATGAGAGACGACTTAAATATTGTCCTTGATTTTTGATATCTTTTTTAATGACAAAAAAAGATTGAAAGTCTATTGAGCTCTCCAAAATGTGGTGGTCCATGTATCTTTAAAATTGACCGATCATTTTAAACATTTAATAGTTGTTGATTTTTAATAAAATGGAATCTAGACAAATTTTCTAATATCTCCGTCAACTTTGAAGGTGTAATAATGACACATTTGGAAAATCCCGAGACAAGCAATTTTCGGTGTTAAGTGTTATATAATACAAAATTTATAGTATCTTCAAAATAATCTCGAATGCCGCGCATGGAACAAAGACGATTTAAAAGTCGTTTTTTTCATTATTGTTTATTATTTTAATTAAAGTCATAACTCGAGTCTAACAGTCGTCTTAAAGAAAATAGACTTTTCAATACAACATTGTTTATGTATCACTAACAACCATCTTATCATGTTGAGATTTTTAAAACATTTTTAAATTGAGACCAAATGTGTCATCTTTGCATGGAGGATCACTTGATATTGAGCCTACAGTCCCTTTGATATTACTGCATTACATAAAGTTGTAATCTCTGTTTTTCTGTTTGTATGTCCGATCATTACTCATGAACCCCTAGACCGATTTGCCTCAAATTTTGATTTTGGAACTCGGGAGAACCACGGAAATGTTCTTGCTTTTGTTTTTGATTTTAAATTGAGTGGGCCCACCTATACAGAGAAAAATAGTTGAAATCTTAATTTACGACCAAGAGCGGGTAAACGGCGGGAGTAACTATGAGTACCCTGGGCAACGCAGGGTTCTCAATTTAGTTTTATTATATAACTATGCACTAAACTACTAATATTCTATTATATTTTTATTTTGTGATGTATCTTTAAAAAGCCTTCCTATTTTTAGGTCAGAATTAAATATTTTGTCGAAATTCATCAATTTTTAGATGAAAGGTCAAAAGGGCATTTGCATCACGTGAATTTAGTTCTACATTTATTTTTAGCTACACCGATAGCTACAGAGCTGAAAACTTTAGAATGGTGGATATCGAGATTAATGCGTGATCCTCTCTTTTTCATAATATTAAGACTAACCTAATCTTGTTCTTGTATCCTGAAAAGTGTGCCAAATTCAACCAATCAGAGTCGCGTAAATGAAGCCGATAAATTTGAAATTTTGCGAATTGCGCGCCATTTAAGATTATATACAGAAGTGCCAACTCTCTAATTAAAAAAAAACGGTTTTTGATTTTTCTAGCTACTATATCCAAGAAAGAACGGGTTATGAAGAAAATGAAAAGTGTGTCCATTGAATACTCAGATTAAGTAATCGGGATTAAGGATATCTCATTCTAAAGTTTTCAGCTCAGATTCAATTCTCAGGTTTGAAGCCCATTTTTAAAAATCTTTTTTACACATATAACAAATTAACACAGCTTGACTATCTATTTAATCTAAACGTTATGGCTTTTTTGCTCAAAAACCTATTTTTAAAATATTTAATCACAGAAAACATTAAATCACAGTTTAAAGTTTAAACTAAAACTATACAAAAGGAAAGGGAATGCAATTTTATTAATTTCCTCTACAATCTCCTTAATATGGATTGCATCAGATAAAAAACAAAACAATTCTTACAAATTCAAAATCGGAAATTCAAAAACAGTTCCAAAATCAAAATTCAGATTTAGCGAACTGTCCTTCTTCTAATTTCCAACATTTTCCCACAAAACATGACAGTTGGTAAATACACTATATTATAGTTATTAAAGGCTTTATGCAGTTTTTTTCATTCAGAAAATCTTTTTCTCAAATATATTTTACTATAAAATATAATATTCTTATATTTGTCTTTGGTATTATAACAACTTAACAAGTTATGGAAACATTAATTACCAACTGTCTTGTTCCGTACGGGACACCCTGTAGTTGGTTGTTATTATTTATCAGGACGCAAATTACTAAGGGTGGCAATATAATCTGTATAATCTGGCATTTTTATTATATTTATATCTAAATAATTGTTTTAAAATCGGAATTGGAAGGAGTAAAGAAGGGTTTATTTTTATACTTGTATATATATCATCACATTGTGTACGTTCACGGTTTAAATGTGTTCCAACATGATATTATGCTCTGCAAAATGTTTTCTTCGGATGAAAGAATGAGCCAATGAAAAAAATATCTTCCCAAAAGTAAAGGTGTGAATTGTGTGTGAAGGTGTTAAAAAGCCAAACTGCACATTAAGAATCTTCATTATAAAGACGACTTATGATAATTTTAACAAAAAGACGACCATTAGAATCTTCTTTTACAAATAAAGATTATTTATCAAATTCATTTACTTAAATTTCCCCTTAATATATCTACGAGTTGTAAAGTTTGTTTGTATGCTTGATATCTTTATCGATATGTAATTTTAGTCTTTTTAATGGTGATAAAGGGACTTTTTCGAATTTAAGTTCTTCTTTCTCTTCTGTTACTTCTTTCTCTTCTGTTTCTTCTTTTTCTCCTATTTCTTCTTTTTCTTCTGTTTCTTCATTTTCTTCTGTTTTTTCTTTTTCTTCTTTTTCTCCAGTTTCTTCTGTTTCTTCTTTTTCTTCTGTATTTTCTTTTTCTTCTTGTTCCTTATCTTCAAGATAATTCCAAACATTATCTTTCATGAACACTATTTCAAAGTAAGCATAATAACCACCTATTAAGAAAAAAGCGGTAATAATTATGATAAAAATGCATCATTTACAAGATAAATTTGAACTTATAGAAGTTAAACCCCAGAGGGATTCATTGATAATAGAAACGAATTTTTGCCACAAACTCATATTTTTTAATCACTATAACCTTTGATATTTTAAACATAGACTATTTGATCAACAAAATCCATAGATTGAAATATCAAAGGTCCAAGACATTGTGCTGCAAAGATATAGGAATTAGAGAATTTAAGTTTGTGTCAAAAAACTTTCTCTCTAAGGCTTCTTTTGTAAAGATCTGGTTTCAGCGTGAAACTGCATAAATAAGTTTACAGATTCTAGCTGGATTTTTTAAAATAAAAAAAATCTTATTATATTTAATGTAAAAAATGAGGCCACTAAGTTGGAAAATATAGAATGAAACTTTAGAGACGACTTTACATATTTTACTCAGTCTTAATTTTTAACACTACATGGGTTGTTTCTTCAACTTTAATCTTAGTTATAAATCTTATAAATATAAAATATATATTTTAGATTGATGCAAGTTTAGAAGTTATAGCTCGCCATAGAAAGATAACCAGAAAACTCTGGAAAAGTACAACGACTCTTAAAATCAAGCTTAATAGTTAAATGACGACGAAACACATCAATTGTGCAGTGTAAAAAGACCCATTCCACAAAATAAGTGATTTTATAAGTGTCTGTTGAAACCATTTGCTTTGTAACACCATCAAATACACTTCAGTATTGCTATAATGTCGTCTTTCTATTCCATTGTTATCTGGTTATCACTGTAAAAAATCTCATACCCTGTATTATGTTAGTATATTTGATAGAATCTAATTGTAAAGCTTGTTTTTTTGTAGTTAATTTAAAGCAATTACCTACTGATTTACCTACAGTCATATTGGGCTCAAAAGATATAATTCTATAAATTTAAAATATGATTTTTGTTTTTCTGAATGATAATGAAATATTTAGCCAAAAATCAGATATTCAGTAAAATATGTAATTGTGGGTGAGGGGGGGGGCTGTGTTTTAATCAGGCGTTTTAAAAAAAGAATGTTTTATGTTAAAAAAAAGTATTATTTGATAAAAAATCAATAGTTTTCCTGAATTTGAGTTTATACAAGTCTTTTAAGATCTGCAGTAACCATTTAAACCTAAACAATTGGAATTATTAAAACCAAATTAAGTTAAAAAATTTATCTTAGATCATAAGATGGTTTAGTTTGTTTAAAAGGGAGAGATGGGATGGGCAGACATTGTTATGGTTGACGCGATCGGAAAGTGTAGTATTGTAGAGAAAACTTTAGGATTATATTTTACTGTGTACAATTTTTAAAAAAGAGCGTAAAGTTGTTATAAGGTAGTATTCCACCTGTTGTTTCAGTCAGCAGAAGAAATTTTTTTTGCAATTCTTAGATAAATAAAACGGTGTTATGAAGCCCTTTAAGATGGAATTCCATTCCTAATTGATCAACATTCTTCAAAACTCCACTCTGCAATCAAGAGGAAATTATTTATTAAACAATCAAAAACTTGAATACCAACGCAAGTGCATTTTCACGTGCACATGTTCAAGAAATCATTTTAATTTCGCGAAAATTACGTTTAATAAAAAACTTCAATTTCCCGTAAATTTGACCCAATTTTGCGTAAATTAAACTATTTAAAGCTTAATTTTGCATAATTACACAAAGATACACGTTATTTGAGATATTTCAATTTCCTGTAACTTTAGATTATATATGGGATTAGATGGGAAGTCAGAGGTGATAAAAATATGGAGGGTTAAATAATTAGGTAATATATTGAAATACGGGTTTTTGGAACTAAAAATTACGTATTTTAAGTAAAAAAATTGTATTTCAAAAGTAAAATCGTCAAAAATAACATATAATTTGAAAAATATTAATTTTAAAACAGAAGTAACTGATAAATGTCAAAACGGTTGAACCGATTGGGCCCAAATTTTGTGTGGGACCTCACATAACTCAAGGGAAGGTTAATGTACCGTCAAAACTAGAGAACTAAATCCTGGAAAATAGTTTTTGACTTTTTTTAAATGCACCACTTCTAAAAGAAAACTCCGCCAAAATTAGAAAGTTATTTAAAATGGCCGACTTTCAGAGCAACAGTTAAAAGCAAAAATTATTTACTGGGAAAGCGGCGCAAGTTTAATTCCTCCAAATTTTAGTTCAAACGCACAAAAAAGTTTAATTAGAAAAATAAGGAATTTCCGTCTTTAAGGATCAGACAAAAGGGCATCCTTGTGCATATACATGCCTCTCTAAAATAAAGAGTCACTTGAAACTACTCTACAGTACAGTCCCTTTTATGATTAATGTCAATTTAATTGACTCAATGAAAACTTATCAATTAATAATTTACAATTTTCTAGGATAAATCAGCCAGAGTGAAAGGAGGTATAGATTAAAAAAAAATTTCCCAGCTATGGCAGTTAGTATTAAAGCCCTGTTTTAGGCCTAAAGGGAGGGCTTTGGGTATGTAAGAAAAGTCAGAAAATTTCAACAGCCTCAGACCAATACTTTTTGAGTTATGTAAAAAAAACTACAGGGGGGGGTCAAATTGACCCCCCCCAGCGGGAATAGGGTTAAAAATAACTTTAGATCGCTAAATTGTTTCTGTTAAAGTAAACTTCTATATTTTTTGTAATTATAAGGCTAAAGTATAAATGTTAATCAAGGAAACTATCTAAAGTAATACACACAGTGCATATCTATCCAAAATAATACACACAGTGCTATCTATCACGCTTAATTTGTATCATAAAGCCAAATATGAATATTTAATTTCTGATAAAAAAGTTGATTAATTTTTTAGTATATTTTATTGAAGATTAAAAAGATAAAAGTGAAGTACGTGTAAATATGTTAAAATTATAAATTCAACATTATCGACCCAACGGCGGGATGTTACGTAAATTAACCATCCCTTGGGGAACAAATATGTAAAAAAACATTTTCATCTCATAAGATGATACTTGGTATGTAAAATTCCTTTAATTCTAATAAAGTATTAAATAACAACAAATTCTTATATTTATTATTTGCTTTAATTCAGTATCTACTTTCAGAAAAAAACAATTATCAATTATTTACTGAAGTTATAGTTTATTTTTAGAAAAACAAAACATTTTGATTTCGTTTTTTTTAAAAAGGAGTACCTTAAAAAATGTTGACAACGATTTAAATTTTTCACTCTTAATAATGATTGAAGATTTTCTTATAACACCCCTTTCAAGTTTTAACTAATAAAAATTAAGTTTTTTAAAGCCATTAAAAATTCGGCCGTATTCCCAATTGTGAATAGAAGAAAGACATTTTTGGACAACACAATTGTAATAATATTTGTGTTTATCGAAAAAATCAACTTATTAACTTAAAAAAACAGTTTAAACTGATTTAATTACCTCAAGCCACTGAATGCAAACAAATCAGAAAAACTTTATATTTTTCTTGGATGACAAAAAGAATAAAAAAAGAACTAATCACTCGTATCAATTCTTTGCAACCTTGTGCATTATTTTATATTTTATTAAAGGTCTATTATGTCCATTAAATATTAGAATAAAAGACAAATTATGGTTTGAGGCGAGAAATCAATTATTTCTTATTTTTTTTAGTATAACTTATTTTGACGTATTTTGAAAATGAATGTTTTTTTCTGATTCCTGGGGCAAGGAATTCAATTCTTCTCCTTCTATATCAACCTGATTATAATGATTATATCATATAACTATACCTTCAGGTAATCAATTGTTGAATTTTCATGTTTGTTAAAACGAATATGGTTTTCTATAAAAATTCAAACTTTTGTTTCGTTCAGAAAAAAAAATTAAAATGTTTAGAAATAGACTATTTTTTAAAGTTTGAAATATATTACCTAGAGTGTCGAGTGCTCCAGCTTTGCTGGAACCCATTCCCTTCTTAAACCAAGAAATACCTTTCCCTCTGAAAAAAACCAGCAGATTAAAAAAAAATATTTTTTTTATGAACGCTTTCGTCTAATAACATTTGGTCTAGTAAGATTTGGTCTAAGTAACATTTGGTCTAAGTAGCATTTGGTCTAAGTAACATTTAGTATAAGTAACATTTGGTCTAAGTAACATTTGGTATAAGTAACATTTGGTCTAAGTAACATTTTGTCTAAGTAACTTTGGTCTAAGTAACATTTGGTCTAAGTAACATTGGTCTAAGTAACTTTTAGTAAGTAAATTGGTCTAAAACTACAGAATTGGTTTAAGTAACTTTAATAAAGGAGTAAGTAACATTGCCTAAATAAGATGGTTCCGTGAAGTTATAGTGCGTCTACAGAAAGATGTAACAATCTTTTGTAGAATGTGAACCTAGTCCCATAAAAAATGGTTGTCAAAAGTACTTAATCACTCCCATATTCATTCATACGCTATCTATGGTAAACATCAGCAACAACAAAGAATCAGGTAAATTTTTTTATTAACTACCTATGAAAAACTAAAAAACATTTTATTCATTTATTTTGTTCATAGATTTGAATAATTGTTTACATAATTTTTATTTGTCAGCTCTCTGCAGCTCATGGGCAATCTGTTGTAGATATTCAAGATTAGGCAGAGTGTTGAATTGTTCCACAATTAGCTTTACTCGCTGTCTGCTAGACGCCGACCTCTCCTTCCTTCCAGAATTACTGGTCAGATCTTGTCCCACAGAATTCGATAGTAAAATTTTGCGTGACTCTTCTGACTTCTGTTTTTGAAATAACTCACACACTTTCCAGGTGTTGGGATTGCTCCCAACCAAGATGTTCCATGTGCGATTAAAACTCTCAACACTGTTTGTGGTTGAAACTCCACCACTAAGGATAGAGTCATACTGATTCCAAGATTCAATGCTGTATAATGGTTGGCGTCTTGTACCTTTTCCAGATCCAGCTCTTGTCTTTCACGGGTTTTCTCCTTTTTACTTACTAAAAGTTACGTAGACCAAAGAACTAGACGAAAATGAACTAAACAAAAGTGAACATAGACGAAAGTGTACTAGACGAAATGTTACTGAGCCCGCGCATCAAGCTCTCTCTCTGTCTTGTAATTCAACGCGGCAAGCGCGTACCTCCTCCTCAGGGTTATTGGGCACAAAAAACCCTGAATCTTGAAAAGACGACATCTAGTGTTCAAATTTAATGTTAATTTTGTTACATAAATTCTTTACCATTGATATAACCATTAACACAACAATTTTTCTTCACTTTTTATTTTTCTAAAAAAAAATGCTTTTTATATCTTTTTTTTATGTAATACCTGTTTGGAGATGTATTAATCGTGTGGTCATAAGCATAGATTTTACAGTTCATAGTATCCATAATATCCTAAATATGTATAGTAACCATAATATCCTAAATATATTATATCCATAATATCCTAAATATATTGTATCCATAATATCCTAAATATGTATAGTATCCATAACCTCCTAAATATATTGTATCCATAATATCCTAAATATATAAAGTATCCATAATATCCTAAATATGTATAGTATCCATAACCTCCTAAATATATTGTATCCATAATATCCTAAATATATATTGTATCCATAATATCCTAAATATACTGTATCCATAATATCCTAAATATATTATATCCATAATATCCTAAATATATTGAATCCATAATATCCTAAATACATAGTATCCATAATATCCTAAAATATATTGTATCCATAATATCCTATATATAGATAGTATCCATTATATCCTAAATATATTGTATCCATTATCAAAAGTGTTGATACGTTACTCTGTCATTAGAGGCTCAGCATGAGACCAGTGTAATGTTCCTTTGTCACTTGTAAATTTACAACTTAAACTTATGCAAATCGTTACAAAGAATTAAAAAAAAATATATTATTTTAAATGTTCTTACTTCAAAGCTCCATTCGTTATTGATTCCAAAAGAGTAAATAATACAGGTTTCAGCCGTTCTACATCAAACAATTCAATTTGAATAATATGATTTGATTGATTTGATTGATTTGATTGATTTGATTGATTTTAATGATCTAATTGATCCAATTGATCTAATTTATTTGATTAATTTATTGACTCGATTGATTTGATTGATTTGATTGAATTGATATATTTGATTGATTTGATTAGTTTGATTGATCTAATTGATCTAATAGATTTAATTCATTTGATTGATTTGATCGTTTTGGTTGATTTGATTTTTTGATTTATTTGATTGTTCTTATTGATTTGATTGATCTTATTGATTTGATTGATTTGATTGATTTGATTGATCTAATTGATCTAATTGATCTAATTGATCTAATTGATTCCATTGATTTGATTGTTTTGATTGAATTGATTTATTTGATTGATTCATTGACTTCATTGATTTGATTGTTTTGATTAAATTGATTTCTTTGATTGTTTTGGTTGATTTGATTTATTTGGTTGATCTTATCGATCTGATTGGTCTTATTGATCTTATTGATTTGATTGATCTAATTGATTTGATTTATTTAATTGATTTTATTGATCGATTGAATTTCCTGATTTTATCCATACAGACAAATTTATCTCCGTCTAAAGCTTGCAAACTATTGATAGAGAGTAGAGGGTCATTTTTCAATCAATTAATCAACTGTTTATGTATTATTTACATATTTTACTTATTTACAATTCTTTACTAGAAAGTTTAATAAGTTAAAGTATTTTGAAATAAAGTACTCTCTAAACATTTTAAAAATCACCCCTGTTATCTTTTGTTTGAAATAAAAAATAACAATTTCAAAATTTTATAAAGAAATCATAATTAAAATTATAATTTTTAGATCTTCTACTTTCCTGCCGATCCAAACTCCTCCAATTCGTTTCATTGATCTGAAAGAAACATTTTAAGATACAGAAAAAAATATGATTCAGGCCTTTTGGAAAATCCTTACTTCCATTTTGTGACTAAATACTCCCCTCAAACCTTTGATATCTCAATTCTGGAACATTTGATTTCGGAATATCTGGGATATCAAAAAAATGTTAAATTAATCTTTAGATAAAGATATTATAAGCAAGCATTAATCTTTCTAACCACAATATAATTGAATTCAAGCTCCTCTGGGAGAATTTGAAATATCCATGGTGTCACAGAAAAATTAGAAAGTTAGAGTATGTCGGAAGTAATTAGTTATTTATAATGGTTGAGATAGCTACAACAAATACAAGAAAAAACGATTGGAAGTGTGTTTCATTAAATAATTACAATCAGGATTAAATTTTTGATGTTCTTTTAATTATCTATAAACACACAGCTCAGAATATTTTGTCAACTTAATGATAGAAAAAGGGATTTTTTAATAATTGAAAAGAAAAACCTGATCAAATCAGTCATATTTTAATGTTTAATGAGATGAATAATTACCTGCATACTCCCTGGATTGGTTTAGCTACTATTTCATAGAACAAGGGAAGACAAGAGGCCTCTGAACAAATTTTGTAACATTTAAAATGATAATTTGTTTGACAGCGTTATCCTGAGACCGTGAATTAGAAAATCTGTAAAATTAAACACATGTCTAAGTTACATTCCGACTTCACGGTGGATTAATCCAGTAGAGTCGGTCAAATAGGGCCTAGGATTAGGCTGGGTACTGTAAAAAGTCTGAACGCGCCATGGGAGTTGTCATGGTTAGCCCTCTGATGGGACTATGTCAAGAAAATTTACCCCTGTCGTCTGTTAGTCTTGTTAGGGCGACTTACTGTACAGAATATGGTCATAGGATCAGGTCAGTACACGCTGTTATCTGGCAGGCTGGCACAAACTGGGTAGGTCCTGTTCAAATTCAAATTTACTACGCCTCAGAGTGACTTATTTTAAGACTAATTTTCCACAGAGTTGAGTTTATTTATCCTGAGAGCTGAACACTTTAGAATGAGATATCCTTAATCCCGATCGATTAATCAATCTGGAGATTAATAACGAGAGAAGAACAAGCATTATTTAATCTGGAGATTAAGAAAAAAAGTGGATTAAGCATTAATCCCGATATCCACCATTCTAAAGTTCCCAGCTCTGTTAATTATTGTATTTGGCTAATTTTCATGGTTGGAATTGGCAGATTTGAGAAATCATATTAGAATAAGACTCAACATTGATACTAATTCTCCACTGATACTAACCAAAGTCAGTTATGAATTTTTAATCTTAAGCCAAGCCTAAGAGCTGTCAGCAGTCGATCACGATACACAAGCTGTCATCAGCTGATTTAAGTTGGGTCTATATATCAGATAAAGCCTTAAACCTGGGTCTAAATGTAATAAAAATCGAGTAACACAATATTCTGTAAATCTGAACAATGTTGTATATTATTAACCATCGACGTTTGTAAACCTCTATGTAAAACCCATTATTCATTTGTTCTGCACTTCAAATGGATACGTAGCATGATTAGCTTAATCATTTTATATATGTAATGACGTACATCTTAATTACGACTTTTATAACTATGCTGTAAATATGTAACATAATTGTATTAATCATGTGATATATATAGATAACGACGTAGGAATTGTAATTATGTCTATTAACTTTAACTTGTGACATATAAACCTCAAATACAGTAGTTGATATTGAGACTCCGCCTTGATTACTGCAAAGACTAATCATGTCCTTGTTCAAATCAAATGAGTTGAAGATTGTGTCCAAGTTGAGGCATTGATAGTTTACAAGATTGTGTCCTAGTTGAGACATTGATAGTTAACAAGATCGTGTCCTAGATGACACATTGATAGTTTACAAGATTGTATTCTAGTTGAGACATTGATATTTCAAGATCGTGTTCTAGTTGAGACATTTATAGCTCAAGATTGTTTCCTGGTTGACATTGATAGTTTAAGAGATTGTGTCCTAGTTGAGACATTGATAGTTTACAAGATTGTGTCCTATAAGTTGAAAGATTGATAGTTTACAAGATTGTGTCCTAGTTGAAAGATTAATAGTTTACAAGATTGTGTCCTAGTTGATGCATTGATAGCTAAAGATTGTGTTCTAGTAGATACATTGATAGTTTACAAGATTGTGTCGATCCTAGTTAATGCATTGATAGCTAAAGATCGTGTTCTAGTTGAGACATTGATACAAGATTGGGTCCGGGTTTTGACATTGATAGCTAAGTGAAACTGAATTGAACCTGGATAGATACGGGTTCAAGGGCAGTTTATGGAGTAGGGTATTTACTAGGGAATTATGACTCGAGCGGAAGCTTTTAAATCGCTGGCTGATGCAAAAGAATTTAATAATTCATTATTTTTTTTTTACAATCAAACACTGGGTTAACCACAAGAATTTAGACTTTATAGTGACCATCTAGAACAATTGTGACGATTGGATATTTATGAATTGATCATAATCTAATAAATAAGACTGCTTAATCATGTAATATAGATAACAACGTAGGAATTGGAATTACGTCTTTTAACTTTAACTTGTAAGCTATTCGGTATTATTTTACGTAATTTCTACAACGTAATTTTGCAAAATTTTGTTATAACAATGCGTAATTAGCGAAACTTTGATTTCGCAAAATTACGGCTAATTTTGCATGATTTCCACAAAAGTGATTTTGTGAAATTATGCAAATTGGCATATAAAACTGTAAACATTTATTATACGAAAAGTAAAATATTTAGAGAAACCAAATTGAATTGAATTTCATTTCATCTTTTATAATCTTTGATACCTTTTTTTGTAGTTCAAATTAAATCTAGAAAATTTGTATCATTTATATAAATCTTAAATTTTTTCAAAAAAAGGTATTGTTTAAATCAAAGATTACAACAAAACAAACCAAGTTTACTCCAGAAATATTTCTCCAAATATCATCCTTTCTGCGTAAGAAATGTTTAAAGTTTTAATATAAATCTTATAAACCACTTTATGCGTCCATATATGTTTCTAATCATGACAATCACAATCAATAAATAACTCTAAAATTCTTATGCTACTATGTCAAAAAAAAGCTAAAATTTTTCGTCACAAATGATAAACAAAGATTTTAAAAAAGCTGTGCTGTATGGTGGAGGGCGGAGGCTTGTTTCCTGCATAGCGGAGGCACGGTCTGGATAGCGGAGGCTTGGTTTACATAGTGGAGGCTCGGTCTGCATAGCAACTCTGGGAGGCTCGTGTCTGCATAGCGGAGGCTCATGGCGTTTGACGGTTTTCCCAACTTCGTGTTGGAAGTAGAAAGCCTATTCCAACCTTCCGATCAGCATACTTTAAATGATTTAGTTCGTCACTAAAGCTTCATCCTTTGTGGGTAACCCTATACTAAAGATGTAAATAAAAGTTTTACCCTGATATTTTTCTATTGGTAGATTTTCCACAAAATCGACAGAAAGTATATCTGAAAAAAGGAATCTAATATAATTTCTTTATTGACAGATATAAATAATCTTACCTTTTGCTCTAAGTTTAGCCATGATATCTTCTGTATTCTGAAGGTCGTCTTCATCACAGGGCGGAGATATTTCCGTTGCAGGTTCATCAGAGTCAGGTTGAAGATATCTAAGCAAATCGAAGTATTAAAGTAGTTAAATATAAAAGTATCAAGATATAAAGTACCAAATCAAAGTATAAAAGAATACAAGTATCAAAGTATCTAAATATCAAAGTATTAGAATATTAAAGTATTAGAATATTAAAGTATCAAAGTATCAAAGTATCAAAGTATCAAAATATTAAAGTATCAAAGTATCAAAATATGAAAGTATCAAAGTATCAAAGTATCATTGTATCAAATTATCTTAAATTATTGAGGTATTCAAAGTATCAAATTATCAAAGTTTCAAAGTATCAAAGTATCAAAGTATCAAAATATTAAAGTATCTAAAATATTGAATTATCAAAGTATTGAAGTATCAAATTATCTTAAATTATCAAAGGATCAAAGTATCAAAGTGTCAAAGTATCAAAGTATCAAATGTTTAAGTATCAAAGTAACAAAATATCAAAATATCAAAGTGTCAAAGTATCAAAGTATCAAGGAGTTTATGTTTAAGTTTCAAAGTATATAACAGTATCAAAGTATCAAAGTATCAAAGTAAAAAAGTTTAGAAAAAACAAAAGTATCAAGGTATTAAGAATCAAAGTAGCAAAGTATTAAAGTATTAAAGTATCAAAGTATCAAAGTATCAAAGTATTAAAGTATTAAAGTATTAAAGTATCAAAGTATCAAAGTATTAAAGTATTAAAGTATTAAAGTATTAAAGTATCAAAGTGTCAAAGTATCAAAGTATCAAAGTATCAATGGGTCAAAGTATCAAACATGAAAGTATCAAATTATCAAAGTATCAATGTATCAAGTATCAAATTACAGTTAAACCCTAAATGAGCCATACATCGGAAGAATTTATCAAATGTCATCTTGACAATTTTTCAATGGGTTTAATACTGTTTTACGTAAATCTCAGTATTTGCGAAAATAGATAAATAGCCATAAATATGCGGAAACAGTTTTAAAGAGCTCCATATAATCAATTAATTAAAAAACTAAATATCTGCGCAACATTCCATTATCAAAAAGTGAAGAATACAACATTTGGTGATTCTATTGATGTATGGCTTATTTAGGGTTTAACTGTATCAACGTATCAAAGAATCAATATATCAAAGTATTGAAAATATCAAAGTACCTCAATCTGGAAAGTATCTCCCGATCAAAGTATTCTATATCCTGGGTTCTAATTATAACTACGATACAGGACATCCCCACCATTGTTAAAACAGCTAAATCGTAAAAATACAATTAAAATTAAAAAATAGTTTCCTGTTTTGATTAATAAAGAGTCAATATTTGCTCATTAAGCCTAAATTTACTAATTTACTTTTGTAACGTTGAGTGGGAAAATATAGAATATAAAAATATTTTCGTTCCAGTTCGTTCTGTAGATTTGAAGAGGCAGAATTTTGTAATTTTTAATTGTCAACAATGTAAATTACAGTGAGTTAACCGTAATTTCAATCGATCTTTCATTTAAAGTGGGTTGTTATTTTCAATCGTTTTCAAAAAAGATCGTTTAGTTTTCGGAAAAAAATGATCCTTTTTAAATACGATCCACTCGTTTTGAGCTTTTAGAAAACGAATAACGATTATTTTTGGAAACGATCGTTTTTTGCTTTGTTTTTCAATCGTTTTCAAAAACGATCGTTAAGTTTTCGAAAAAAACGATCCTTTTTAAATATGATCCACTCGTTTTGAACTTTTAGAAAACGATCGTTTTTATAAAAACGCCCTTGGAGGTTAGTATATCCACGCACAAGGCGTTGGAAACAATAAAGATAAAACACTATATGTCCTATTTTCAAGATTTAGGGGTTTTTCGTTCATAATAACCCTGAGACAGAAGCCAAAAGGAGTTAGAACAGGCTCTGCTTCTGCCTCATGGTTATTGTGAACGAAAAACCCCTAAATCTTCAAAGTACGGGTGTCCTATCTGTATTGTTATAAATCTATGTGTATAATTATTTATAGATATTTAATACGAGGTCAAATTTTTAAGCAACATTGGTTTGATTAATTATTAATAATAATACCTGCTGTGTACAGTCTTCTTTGGATAATCATTTTCCATCTTAATTATATTTTTATATGTTTAAGGCGTCATTATATGGTGGTAAAAACATTGATTTATGTGCTATTTTTCCAGTTTATTGACGTCAGACCCAGAACGGTCAAAAGAGAGAAAAAGTGAGTTGCGGAACAAAGACAAAGAAGTAAGTCGCATGGAATAATTCCTGTATGCCGAGTCCATTATGATCCAATCATGCAGGGTTCAGTCATGTGTTTGTTGTCTATTCTAAACCAATAGAAATAGTATGGCGGTAACATCTATCTTTCTATCTTTCTCATTATCCAATTAGAGTTATGGATCTTTCAATCTATAGTGATAAATAACTATCACAACTTCTTAAAGATAAAACTACAATTTTTTTTCTGAAATTGAGATTTTCAGGTCGAGTAATGAATCCGTTTGTGTTGAAAAGATTGTAAAAACATCTTTAATTAAACACAAAGAAATGGGATTTCTAATTTTTTTCGGATCAATTTTGACCAATTTTGATTTTATTACAGCAGTTTTATGAAATTACTTCTACATTTTTTTGAGGATTTATTCTTAATTCTGATATTCATGTTCCCACGTCGAGTTTAATTTTATTGAAAGGACTGTAGGGACACAACATCTAATTTTTAAATATCTAATGTTAATTGAAAGGACTGCAGGGACACAACATCTAATTCTTAAATATCTAATTTTTATTGAAAGGAATGCAGGGACACAACATCTAATTTTTAAATATCTAATGTTAATTGAAAGGACTGTAGGGACACAACATCTAATTTTCAAATATCAAATGTTAATTGAAAGGACTGTAAGGACACAACATCTAATTTTTAAATATCTAATGTTAATTAAAAAGGACTGTAGGGACACAACATCTAATTTTTAAATATCTAATGTTAATTAAAAGGACTGAAGGGACACAACATCTAATTTTTAAATATCTAATTTCATCCAGATTTTGAAACCTAAAATTTAAAATTTATAGAAAATTTGCGAGTTCTTCTCTGTAGTGCACAAAAAAATAACTGGGTATTGCCAATATATTTGCATTAAAATAAAAGTGAAATATCTTTTAAATTCGGTATTAACTTTAAATTAACAAAGAATTCAATTTCCCTTTTTCAGTCTCTAAGTTTATCTTCAGTGTCAACTCATTGATTTTTGCTGAGACAATTAAAAGTATTTTTTTCTAGTTTAGAATATCTGCAAGACGAATTTCAACAAACATAAGGATTATATTCAAAGGCCAAAAGAAAACATGGATCATTTGTGTTTTAGTAAAAGTCTTTATTTTAATTTCATATAATAGATATAAAGCACTAGGCTTTTAGGGCGCTTCGCGCCCATCTTCTATTTCAATTGTGAATATGTTCTCTTTGTATACATTGTAAAACAAAAACAAACAGTAAATTTCGTTGATTTTATATAAAAAATTTCGTAGATTTTTAAAATTTTCAAAAATCTTGTTTCAGGCAATTTTTTTTTAAATTTTATCATCCGTAAACCTTTCCTGGGGTCACGCGAGTTTCCACAAAAAAAATTGGGCCCGATTAGTTCGGTCGTTTTACTTTTATTAAATACAAACTGACAGACAGACAAGCAAAGAATATTATACAGTGAAACCCTTAATAACGAATACATCGGAAGAATTTATCAAATGTCGTCTTGACAATTTTTCAATGGGTTTTATACTGTTTTACGTACATCTCAGTATTTGCGAAAATAAATAAATAGCCATGAATATGGGGAAATAGTTTTAAAGAGTTCCATGTAATCATTTAATTAAACAAATGGTTTTACTGTAGAAGTTTTAATTGAGCATTTAATCATTCATACTTCGATAGTATTTAAACTTTAAAGAATAAAGTGATCTTCGTATGGTTTTGTACAGGTACAGACAGCTTAATACGGGGGGGGGGTGCAAAGGGAAACTTCCCCATGGAAATTGTTGAGTTACGTCTCCTCCCCGGAAAATTGGGGGACGTCCCCCCAAACATTGAAAATGCCAAAAAATTTCTGTTATTCTTTGAAGAATCATAAAAAACGGTTGACAAATAAATCCTGAAAATTATTTTGAAAATCTTCAATTTCTGAACTGTCTTGTTTCATGGGACAACTTTTACTTAATCTTTTATAAAGGTTAAGGTATAAAGTTTCTCTTCATAATAATTTGATAATTTTGATATTACTGATTGAACGGATTTCTATATTTTATGTATTTACTGCTCCTACACCTTAATGAAACTAAACTATCATTTGAAATATGATCCTGGTACCGATATACAGCTGATCCTGATACCCCCTTCTCATCATCCTTCTCTTCTCCTTCCCTTCTTTCATTCTTCCTTTCTCCTCATCCTTCCCTTCGCCTCATCCTTCCTTTCTCTTCATCCTTCTTTTCTCCTGAAACCCAATTCTCCTCATCCTTCTCTTCTCCTCATCCCTCCTTTCTCTTTATCCTTCTTTTCTCCTGAAACCCCCTTCTCATCATTATCTCTTAACCTTCTCTTCTCCTCTTCCTTCCCTTCTCCTCATCCTTCTCATCGCCTCATCCTTCCTTTCTCTTCATCCTTCTTTTCTCCCATTAAACCCAATTCTCCTAATCCTTCTCTTCTCCTTCTCTTCTCCTCATCCTTCCTTTCTCTTCATCCTTCTTTTCTCCTGAAACCCAATTCTCCTCATCCTTCTCTTCTCCTTCTCTTCTCCTTCTCTTCTCCTCATCCTTCCCTTCTCCTCATCCTTCTTTTCTTCTGAAACCCAATTCTCCTCATTCTTCTCTTCTCCTTTCCTTCTCCTAATCATTCTCCTCATACTTCCCTTCTCCTTCCCTTCTCCTAATCATTCTCTTCATCCTTCTATTATATGATTATATTTCTAAAATGTAAAACTTTTATAAAATATATTATATATATCTATTTAATATTTATTATAATTCCGACTCTGTGTATACCAAACGCCGAGTTTTGCACTAATGTCAGACATGTTTCAAACTCAACTCTCTCTTTAACTTTCTATCTTTCTGTCAAATAGTTAGGCTTTCTTGAACACAAATCCTCGAAAACATTAAAGGTGGGAGAAGAACTAACAAATATAGAATATTTATATTTCATTTTGAAATTTTTTAAATTATGAACAATAAATGTAACTAAAGGGGGAAACAATTTAAACAGTTTGAATGAATATGATTAAAGGAATTGCTCCCTGTTTGAAAATACACATTATGCCCGACATTTTCAAATCAGAAACTTTGTCAAACCACACGGGGCCGTTCAAAAAAGATCCTAAGGACCGAATTGGTCGAGCCTTTTATTCTTCATTTCTCTAGAAAAATGAAGAAATCTAAAGCAAAAAAAACCTAGATTACAAGTGCTTATGTGCTTATGTGCTTATGTATATTTTCAAAAAGGAGTTCAAGACCTTTAAAGGGACTGTAAGCGTAATTTCAAGTGACCCCTAATGAAAACGTAACACACTTGAATTTGCGGCTGAAGCGGATTTCGATAAGTTTACAAACACATATCTCTGTACTCGACGAACACACAAAGGTTTGAAGGGGACCGTTGTAAATCGGGCATTTGTAAAGAGGATCATTTGTCATTACGTTAACAGTCCCTTTAAAGTGACTGTTCAGATATAAAATCTTGTCGCAGGTCTGACAAATTCTTAATTTCTTTTCTTTTTGAAATGTTTCAAAGGAACCGTGCTTTCTTGCAGGAATGTATACAGGGTGTCCCAAATTAACACTCTTTTAGATACTATACTGCACTCACCATGGTTCGATTTATATATTTTTGGACATTTTCAAAATCTTCGCAACATTTCCAATCATCGAACCATAATAAGGTTTTTTTGAGACACCCTGTATGTTTATTTAAGTCTGAACAATATTTTTGGAATCCTTACATGTATATTTTCACTAATCTTTGTTTGAAATTATCTTTTTTTCAGAATATTACTTGTAAAATCTTTCATCATTCGCCCAGCCTGAAATAAGACCAAAATTTCATATTTTTCATTATCAATAGTTTTTTAAAGATTATTATTTTCAAGTTATTTTAAATTACTTTTCAAATATCTAAAAAAATCTTTTTTTAATGATTCAGAAAAAAAAAAGAAAAAAGACCTTTTGGCTTCTCGACTCGGATCTTGATCTTCGACTAGTTTCTTCTTCTTCTTTAATATCTTCGTTTTTCTCCTTCTCTTCTTTTTTATCTTCTCCTTCCTCCTTCTCCCTAATATATTAAAACCGTACTATTGGATCAAAAACAAATGAACACACACGGCATCAATATATATAAAGTTGTAATCTCTGTTGCTCTGTTCGTTTGTTTGTCCGATCATAGCTCAGAAGCCCCTGAACCGATTTGCCTCAAATTTTGGTTGGGAAACTCGGGAGAACCGCGGGAAGGTTCTTGGTTTTGAGATTCTAAGCTGAGTAGGAAAAATAGTTAAAATCGCAACTTTCGACGCACGAGTAATCAGTGTGACTAACTATGACCCTCTGTGCAACGCAAGGTTACCAAGCTAATCTTGTTAACAAATTCAAGAAAACACGAAGGCGATTACCACTGTGTAGCGAAGTTGACCGCGGAAGATTCACAATACTATAATACTATATCCGCTCCAAATGTGTCTCCTCATGTTCCCCCCCCCCCTTACCGCCTCTACTTGTGGGGAACAGCGTCAGTTAGCTTTAGAATGTCGAGATGTGAACTTCATTTCATGCTATTATTCAATAAAGTTACCGAATATCCCTGTTGTTCTTTTATTTGTGTCAACAAATCTATATATAAATATGGCTTGTCTGTCTGGGTGTCTGTATCCAATAAACGTCAAAACGGCTGAACCGATCGGGCCCAAATTTTTTGTTGGACATTACGTGACCACAGGTAAGGTTTATGAACGATAAAAATTTTTAAAAAATGTGTTTTAAAGGTTTTTATTTTGTAAAAAAATTTAAATTCTTGAAAATCCGCGAATTTTTCTAAAATTCGCAAAATCTTTTCTTCTTTGTTTTAAAATGTAAACAAAAAGAACAGTATAATTTAAAATCTAAGAAGCTACATGAACCCTGGCGATTTCTAAGCCTGAAACGTTCACAAAAAATAAAAAACCGCTTTTGAAAAGTTTTCTCAAGTAACTGAATAGAAACATTAAATCAGTAAAAAAGTAGAAATTAAAATTTATCAGTTGTTTTAGTAATTATATACCTGACACCTACATGGAGTAGTAATTATATACCTGACACCTACACAGGGGTAGTAATTATATACCTGACACCTACACAGGGGTAGTAATTATATACCTGACACCTACACAGGGAAGTAATTATACACCTGACACCTACACAGGGGTAGTAATTATATCTGACACCTACAGGGGTAGTAATTATATACCTGACACCTACAGGGGCCCTCTGCAATGACCTGCCACGAGTTATCTGTAAAAATATGTTCATCAAAAGAATTGATTTTTTTGCCACAAACTCAAATTTTCTACTCCCAATATTTTTACAACCCTATACCGTGGACCTTTGATATTTCAAACTATGAATTCTGTTACATCAAATAATTTACGTTTGAAATATCAAAGGTTTGCACCATCAGATAGCAAAGATATATAGGGATTAGAAAAATTAAGTTTATGATACAAACTCAGTTCCTTTGTAAAAAAAAGTTCATGATATTGTTTTAACGTGATTTTTAGGAAAAACTTGCCTTGTTCACTTCGAAAACAGTTTTTTCTTTGAATTCTCTAAATTTTGAAATAATCCTACTATCTCTCTTCCCTTCCTCCTTCCCTTCTTCAACACTGGTTCTTCTCTCTTCCTTCACTTCTACTTCTACTTCAACTTTGTTCTCTTGAATTACGGTTTCTTCTTCTTCTCCTCTCTCGTTAAATCTTACATTTTTATTGCTCATTCCCTGAAATGAAATTTTGTTAAACCTAAAATTTAATTGGTAATAATTCTTAAAAAATAAAGCTTTTAGAGAAAAAGCACAGCAATTAAAGGGACTGTAGACTGTTTTTCATGTGATGCTCTACTCCAATTCAGAATACAGTTGTTGGCGTTTATATCAATATAATGAAGAAGACTATTTATTAATATTTTTTATCCCTGACAAGCGTTTATCGAATTACAATTTACAAATAAACAAAGAGAAGATGTTAATTGACAACTTCTCTTTGTTTACATGTTCATTGTTCATGTGTCTCTTGCTAGAAATCAAAATTGAAATAGAAAGTCGTCTTCATTCTAATGATAAACACGACGATGACTGTAGTACTCTTAAAAGCTTTGTCTGATCAAGATTGCATTAAATACCAATAATTTTCTCGTTGAAAATTGATTATTTTTAATTGTGGTTTCTCTAAAAAGTGACTTGCGGATATCTACTTCAAAAACAGTGGGGGAAAATATCAGAATTAGACACTTCTTAGATATTGATCAGATACAGGATTAAAGGGTTCTGGAGTGAATCGGATATGCTTCTTTTTGAATAGAGGATCACTGGAAATTACAGCGACAAAATTAAACTTACTTTTTTTGAACTTTCGGACTCTGGAGTGTCTGAAAGAATGTTTTTCAGTTCTTCTTGACTGATCACATTTTCCTTTGTGGGTACACCTGAATCTTCTTTAGCAGCATCTTCATTAGCTTTGTTTAGTTTTGCTTGACTGATCACATTTTCCTTTGTGGGTACACCTGAATCTTCTTTAGCAGCATCTTCATTAGCTTTGTTTAGTTTTGCTTGCTTGGAGGCCTTTATATCGGCCTTGGAGTTGGTATTTGGTAAAACAGGGGGTTCTGAAAATTCTTGGATGGGGGATGATATTTGTTCATATACATTTGGATGAGGGGATTGGAGCGGTTGGGTCATCTTATTTGGAAAATCTGAGTTATGATTTGTAAATCCTTTAAATGGTTTCGGTGTGCAGTTGATCACTCTTGTTGGAAGGAGTTTAATACCATCATCCTTAGCTTTGAGGTCACACTTATCTATTTGGTAACCACTTAGGTCATCAAAGTTGATTTTGTTGTCGAGTTGTTTCTTAGAAGTATCTTTCTTTGAACCAGGTTCTGATGATTCTAATTTTGATTGGGAAATCAAGGTTTGCTTGATTTCTTTCTTATCCTAAAATTGAAAACAAATCAGAAACACAATCTCGAAAACGAACAGACAATTACATTATTAAGAATTCAAATAGTCTTACCTCCTTTGTTACCTTTGATTTTTCTGATGACGTTTTTGTTGATTTGATGACTTTGGCATAAACAGCTTTACTTTCTGATTTATCCCCGCTACCCGATTTACTCAAAGCTTTAGGTTCAGATGTTGACTGAACTGTTTGAATGCTGTTTAATTTATTAGATTCGGAGCTGTTGGATTTTATGATTTTACTGGTCTTCGCCTCACCACTGTTTGATTTGACAACTTTAGTGTTAACTTGCTTTACTTCTTTTTGTGTGATTGTTTGAGGTTTGACCTCCTGGCTCTTTGATTTAGCCTGCTTGCCCACCAATACTTTCTTTTCTCGACTGCGTGACCGGTCATTCTCAAACTTTTTAGCAGCATCTTTTTCTTTGGTGCTCTCATTAGATTTTGATTTCTTGACTCCTCCAACTGATTTAACTGGCTCTTTCTTGATTTCAGCTGACTTGCTATGGGTTAGAACAGTTTGATTCCGTTCCGCTGATTTTGATTGCCCACGCTGAATCACAGATGAAGGGCTTAAAGCATTGGTGTTCCTGGCAGGTGCTGCTGTTTGCTGCTTCACAGTAGGGGTGGGACTAACAATCACCTGTTTTGGTATAGCAGAGGCTTGATTCGGTTTATCAGAGGCTATATTAGGTTTCGCAAGGTCTTGTTTAGGCTTAAAAGGTTCTTCCTTCGGCTTAGGCATTGGCACCTTGGAAGGGGTAGATTCAACAGCAAATTCTTTACCCGTCGCTCTAAGATATTAACTTTTAAGTTTTAGTCCAGTTAGGAAAAAGAATTTGTTGTTAAAATTACCTAATTTTCATAAGTTGCTCAAGTTCAGATTTTCTGGCATCCCTTGGATCCTCTTTAGCTTCTTCAAGATCATCCTGCTGCTGATTCTTCCTGGAATAGAACATACGAATACAACAAGAATCAATCTGATGGCTAATTGATATGTTATTCTAAAAAAACATCATTTCTCTAGTAGCTTGAAAATTATCATATTATGTGAAATTGGTCTGTGCATGCTGCGCAGTTGGTGTTTAAGTATGCCATGTTAATTGGACTATTTAAAATCCTAACTAGGATGATGGGTCAACCTTAAAAATAATTGAAAATAATTAAAAAGACGCATCTGAAAACATCCAATAAAGAAAATGAAATAGTTTCAAAAGTACTAATAATCAGAAAAAATCAGAAAAATAAAAAAATATCTGACAGATACAGGTTGTCCCCCAAAACATAACAGCTGGTAAATAGTTTTGAATGTCGTCTTCCACACACTTTATTATATATTAAAGACTGTTTGCAGTTTGTTTAGTTTAAAAAATCTTTTGCTCAATTTTTTTTACTTTGAAGTAAATTTTACTATAGTATGACTTCTATATGATATTTTTTTTATTGTCTTTGGTATCAAACAACTTAACAAATTATGGAAGAAGACATTCTAAACTATTTACCAACTGTCATGCTTTGTGGGACACCCTGTACCTAAAATCTAAAACAGCCCATACATTTATTATTTGACCTACAGATCTAATATTTACATTTTGAAAAAGCACTTGGATATACACTAAAGAAAAATTAAGTATTACAACGTAGAAATCTTAAAATTGGTTTGAATTCGTGTCTATATGTAATTATTACCTTAAACTTTTAACAGTTTCTAACTCAAGAATTGCTTCCTTTCTCCTTTCAACCATTCTAAACATTATCAATTTCATTAATTTGGACCATATACATACATTGTACAGAACCATACATGTCTGTACGTGTGACAGTATTCTATAGCATGAGATTTTTATCTCTGATAAGGTTTTACGATCAGATCGAATTGGAGAAAAGTCTTAATCATACAAGTTTAATTTACAAAATCATAAAAGACTTTTCAGTGTTTGTTTTCTGACCCCCCNCCCACGACTCAAATTCAAATTTTAAAACTAAGTTTTGCTTTGTAAAATGTTTAATAAGTTTCTCCCACCCTGTTAAAGGAAATATTGAATTATCAAAGGAATTTAGAGTTTTTTTAGTTCGAGATATTTTTTATTTCTTCCTGAAAAATTATATAATTAAAGTTTGAACACTTATTAGTTCTTTCCAGCTAAAAAATTGGTAACTTTCTGTTTTGAAATTTTACCAAAATGTTTAACGAAATGCATATTCGATAAAAAATAAATTAAATTTTGTTCACCGACTCTGTCCCTTTTACCTAGTTTTAGTGAAATCGTATATTTTTTCTTCTCCAGATTCTAGTCTGGCTTTTCTTACCAAATCAAGCTCCTAGGATCAATCAATCAATCAATTAATAAATTGGTAAAGCAATCAATTAATCAATTAATAATTAATCAATAAATCAATCAATCAATTAATCATATAATTAATTAAGCAATCAATCAATTAATCAATTAATAAATTGACCAATCAATCAATCAATCAATTAATAAATCAATCAATTTATCAATCAATCAATTAATCAACTAATCAATTAATCAACTAATCAATTAATCAATTTAACAATTAATCAATCAATCAATCAATTAGTCAATCAATCGATTAGTCAGTTAAATAATAAATCGGTCAATTTATCAATTAGCTAAAAATAAGCTAACAATAGATCAAATAATGGTAAAACAATTTATGTTAACATAAATATTTTTTCATGAAAATGCCTTCTGTTAAGTATCAAGTTTCTGGGATTGTAACTTGGTATTAAAAGATTGTTTAGATCTTTTCTTGTCAAAATTTCAAAACAAAAAAAATTGAAAAATTCACAAAAATTAAAAATCATTTGAAAGTGTTAAAAAACTTTGTTTTTAAAACTATAAAGGAAAAATGTAGTATTAACAAGAAAAAAGTAGTTTGTAGTTTTGAATAAAATCGTTTTCCACAATTGACAATAACATGTTTTCCACAAGACAATACGGAGATATCTGCATATATCTAATTATTAACAACATTTACCATTGCTGCTTTTCTTTTTTCTTCCTCCAACTTCAAAGATTTTTCTAGAAATTTATTTTTATTTTTTTAATGTTAATTTTTTTTCAGATTTTTTTAAAAATTACCTTGGACCCATGAATCATCTGGAAGTCTGTTAAGAAAATTATAGATTATATTTTATTTATATATTTTATTAGAAATGGGCCAAATCTGCAAAGTTATCTTTTTCAAGCGTATACATCTTTAACTCCGAGCCGAGTTGAACAAAACTACACCATATAGTTGTTAAAAAGGGCTAAAACTAATTATTGAAACAAGAAATGTCAACTTTAAACTAATAATAAGGTGTAAGAATTAGTTTTTGATGATATTGACCAACGTCAATTTTCAAGCAAATCAAGCTTTTTTGATAATGTAAAATATAAACGAAACAGAATACAAAAAATACTGTTCTTTTATAATTTAAAAATCATTAAAGCATCGAGAAATAAAAAAAAATTATATCATTTTGTTCTTACAATATAGAAATCCGAAAAATTGTTTTTATAGAATGCGGGAACTTGAATCATTTTATTCTCTTAATTAACAAATAAAATAGGGAATTTAAGATTTTGGAAATAATTTAGCAATTAATTTAGTCTTCATCAGATAGTTTTTACTTCCAGTGATTTATTTTGTAAGTTATGAAAGTTATTTGTTTTGAATTGTGGATTATACTCAAAAACGGGAAAGTGGGTTCTGTCTCGAAAACGCGACAATGATTCATATTCAGGATATATTCCAAAATGGAAAACCTGACATTGTCTTGAAAACGGTCAAGGGTTTTAATATAAAAAGAACTCCTTTCATAATTTTAATTCCAGAAAATAGTTTTAAATTGGGAATTGTTGTCCTCGTCATGCTTAAAAAAATGTTGGTTATAGTTTTAATTATCGACTTTTACTCTGGATATGGGCCGGGATCCCAAAAACCCAGTCTTCCAATTTGTGCCCATTTCTAATTCTCAGTGTTAGAAATGAGACAAGTGTTAGTTTTGGAACTAATGTTTCCTGTAATATAAATCTAACTCCTTTCATAATTTTAATTCTTACAAAGATGGCATTGCCAGATTCTAAATAATACCCTTGAAACTTTTAATGTGAAAGAAAATATTGGGTTTTCTAGGTTTAAGAGTCTAATTCCTTCATGTTTTCCAGCAGTATAAATGCGCAAGTCAATTTTCTTAAAAAATCACGATAAACATAATTTTATTTTTCTGTTCTTACATTTTTTATAATTTTAAAAGACTGTTTGATTAAATTCAAATTAACCCTCCATTTGATTGTCACGTATGCCTGATTCACAACAATACCCTTTATATATTTTGCTGGGCAAAAAGGAGGAATATCTCAAGTGTTGAATTCTTAAAATTATCTTTATATTTCTCTGCTGTATTAAGGAATTAATTATTCGTAACAAATTTTGATTTTTTAATCCCTATCTTTGAAACCCAGAGACCTTAAATATTTTCAACTATGAATTCTGTTAGATTAAAAACTCTTAGTTTACACCTAACACCATAAGGTTGCAAAGCTATAGAGATTAGACAATTTGAGTTTGTGGTAAAATTCCTTTACCCGTCAATTTAATAGTGTTACAACAATTAAGAAATTTCAATTTTCAGCATATTTCGCCTCACTCTCGCCCCCCCCCCCCTCACTGGACTCAAGCATGATTATGATTGTGAACCATCTTTTATCAAATTGTGTCCATTAAGAAAAGATAAATGGAAACTAAGATATCTAAAAAAAGTGTAGAGTTAAGGGCGCTGGGCGATTCCGTAAAACAAATTTCAACATTTAACTTTCTTCTTATCAAGAAAACATTATTTTAGATCAGACAAAAGGTTTCAATGAATATTTTCTCCTGAAACACTTAATTTTGTATGTTTTTGTTATATTTCATAAATAAATAATTTTTTACTTTACTTTAATACCGCTGTGGATTAGGAATACTCTGATTAAATAGAGTCAAATGAAACTAAGTTTTCTTTAAAACTTTATTTATGAATTTTCCATTCCTTGCTCTCTGAAGAACGTGGGCTGATTTGGAGCGAACAGGCTGGTCATCCTAAATAGGGGAAACATGTTTTAAAGGGAACCATCGCGAAAGATAAAATGGGAAAAATATACCAAATTGAAACTTTTAATGGATTTTTTTTTATTTTCTATTTTGTGAAAGGAATTGTTACTCTAATTCCTATACCTTTGCAACAGGATGGTTAAACCTTTGATATTTCAAACTTACGACTATTTAGTTAACCAGAATTCATAGTTTTAAATATTTAAGGTCTATGACCTTGGGTTGCAAAGATATAAAGATTTTAAGATGAGTTTGTGACAAAAACTCAATTTCTTTATTCAACAGGTTCTCTTCTTAGTTTCAGTTCAGTAATCTCTGGAATGTTTATTGATATTAATTTTATAAAATTTATAGAAATTGTATGTAGAAAATGTATTTCTGGATTCTGTTTCATATTTTAAAAAAATTGCTAATATATTTATTTTTTTAAATGAATCATTTCATTTTTTTTTTATTTTTCAGATGACTTTTTTGAATTGCATTTTGTTTTATTTCTATTATTCATTTTTTCACATACTTTAATTTTAAATTTTGACCTGAGAATTATGTTTCCATCTTTTAGTCACAGGTGTTGGTCTTGCCGCCCTGGATAGTGTATTTTGTAATATTATTATGAATTTATGCCTTTAGGGCGATAAGACATTTTAAGAACATTTAGATACTTAACTATACTCATATTTATGCATATATATCCTTTATATTTCCTTTATCTTTATTAAAACACAAATTGAGGCTGGCTACAGGCGATAAGCCATTTTGCAATTTTTATAGCAATTTTTCTGTCATTGTCCATAGTTGCGATAGTTTTGTGTTTGTGTTTTCTCTTGTGGTTTGTCTGTAAAATATATATATTATAAGAGTCCGAATTTAATGAATTTGAGCCGAGTCTCAAATCCGCCCAAAACCGGTTTCAATTGAGCGACGGCTTAAATCTTGAAGCATTGAATACACATTTAAGTGAAACCAACCATATGTGAGCTACGTCTTAAATTTAAGCCGCGGCTCAAATTCTTTAAATTCGATCTCAGGAACCATTTTGCATTTTGTAAAAATATTTTTTTAATAAAGTATCAGAGAAAAAGAAAAAGAAAAAATGTTATTAAATAAAAAAAATTGTAGATTTAACATTAATTAATTGGAATTTATGCGAATTTCAAATTTTATATATTTTTACCTAATTTGATTCAATTCTTCGTCAACATCTTTTTTACCCTCTTTAATTTCATCCTTAAGAAGTTAAGATAAATATAAAGAAACAGAAAACCTGTTACAAACTGAATTTTTCAACAAAAAAACACATGTGTTTGGTGTCAAAACGAAACTAGCAAAAGAATCTTTAAAAGTTTAAGAAAATAAAGTAATGTTTGAAATAAAGTGATGTTTGAAAAAATGTAATGCTTGAAATAAAGTAATATTTGAAATAAAGAAATATTTAAGATAAAGTAATGTTTGAAATAGCTGTTGAAAAAATATTGGGCGCGTATGAAGAGTGTACATGGTTGCAGTACAGTACAGTTGCAGTACACTACTTTTAGACATTATTCAATTCAATTTTGATAGTTTTAAAGGAATTGAACTAAAGCAAAATTTAGATTTTCTAATTTTTTTAATCATTTAAATAAATTTGATAAATACCCCTGTATTCTGGTTCCAACGTTGTGTTACCGGGGTTGGTCTGGATTCTCTGGAATACAAAAAATTAAGGATTTTGGTCCTTGCCACAAACTAAAATAGAAATCCCTATATCTATACAACCTAATGGTTTAAACCTTTGCTGTTTTAAAATGAGTTTGAGAATTAAAAGTTTAAAATATGAAAGATCTTGTATGAAATGTAACAATTCTAGTTTTGCTAGAGTGTGTCCCTTTTTTGCTTTAACAGGCTGGAATAGCACAGGGTGTCCCAAAAAACATGGGAATTCAGTGACGAATTGTATATCGTCTTTGCTATGAATTAGTATTGTAATACCTAATTTCAACAGACATAATATTATTATGTCTGCTAGAGTTTATTTTATGAAAATGGTAAATGGCTGTAAAGGTGTGTCTATATAATGTCTCTGCAAGATGAACAGTGAAGACGGACAAGTTTACTCTGTTTGTATACTGCAATTTTCTTGTTTTACTAAGTACAAACGTATGCAGTCAAAACATAAACAAACAAAATGTAAATATAGCAGACGAAACTCTTACAAATTACAGCTTTCTCGGTTGGTATCACTATACTAAATCAAAGAATTATTTAAAAAGACGATATTGAATTCTTCACTGAATTCCCATGTTTTTTGGGACACCCTGTATCTATACAACTCTTATATGTCTCAATCAACTCATGAGATTCTCAGGTTCCAGCCTATACCCCCTTTCAATTTTCCTTTACTGTCCCTTTAACAAAATTGGGATCAACCATTGATCTCGATATCCACAATATTCCCAGCTCAGATATAAAATGATTGACCTGAGTTGCTCTAGTTCATCTTGTATTTCATGTTTTGTTTCCTCTGCATGTTTTAAACCATCCTTAATATTCATAATTCTTGATAAATTTCATTTCTTAAAGATGAAATTTAATGTTAAGAGTTAGTGCTTTTTTAGGTTGTTGTAAATCAAACAAATACGCTGGTAGGCGATTATACCAAAACAATGAAGACGACTTTCGGTTTCAATTTTGATTTATATGAAGCGCTTAAACATCATGACTACACAAATAAATGGAAACAGAGAGAAGCTGTTAATTAAAAGAGCTTCTCTTTTATTACTTGTAGACCTCACCTAGCGATAAGAATTTTATGTAGTGTCGACACTTTCAAAATAAAATCTCTCTCTCTCTCAGCTTTAATTTATTAATTTATTAATCTACTGTATTCTATTTTAATTCCATAGTTGAGAAATCGAATTGCCATTTTTATCAAAACCAAACATTTTCATTCAGTGAACTGGGCCACCATAGCTTCTAACCAGAGCCCGCGATTTAAAAGCTTCGGCTCGAGTCTTAATTCCTTAAATGAAATTGACCTTAAAGAAACTAAATCTGCAAAAATATTTAAACAAAGAGTAATCAATAATTATCTTGAGAATTATGAGAGGTTTAAATGCGAAAACCCTAGCTGTATATCGTGTAAATAAATTTTATATAAAAAAAATGAAATAACTGAAACTCCCGAGTCGTATTTTCTTGAATTTTTTAAATCGCCGGCTCAGGGCAAGAAATTAATAAAAAATTTAACAATCATTTCTGATTTTTTTAAACACCGACCCGCCGTTTTACCGTCCTCCACACTACCCTTTGCATCAAAAAGTGCTCAAAATTTACTTTGCATATAACTATCCTAATAATTTCTTTTTGTTCTTAACTTGCATTATGTTCCTATAATTGACATTTTTGTCGCATTTGTGTGTTCGCCCCTGTGAACCTGTAATTCAAAAATTAAGCTTCTTAACAATAAAAAATTAAATAAAAAAGTTGTCTTCTTGTTTTTCTTTATCTTAAAAAATGTGTTGAAAATTTTAAAAATATTTTATCATGATTCCTGATCCTTGCATCCTCTTTTAATTAATCTTCGTCGTGTTTTTAATTTACCATAATATGCCGGCTTGTACTTGGATTTGTTGTTGTGCTGTTGCCAAAATACATATATATTATTATTATTTATATTGATATTATCGCCTACCACTGCAAGAAAAATATTGATATAAATTTTATGATAATAACCTGGAAAACTGAACTGATGTCTATTTTCTGAGGAACCTAGAAAAAATATATTTATGCTAAGTTGTGAAATCATCGACTTTATTTTTTTAGTTAGTTAGTACTATATACAAATAGTTTACAGAAGAAATCAACCAGCTTTACAATACAGAAAAATCTAGTTAAATAAAAAAATCTATCTATCTATCTATAAATCTTTCTATCTATCTATCTATTTATCTGTCTATCTTTCTATCTATCTATCTATCTATCTATAGAGCTATCTATCTATCTATATATATATATATATGTTTCTATCTATCTATCAATCTATCTATCCTTCTATTTATCTATCTATCTATCTATCTATCTATATATCTATCTATTTATCTGTCTATCTATCTATCTATCTATCTATCTATCTATCTATCTATCTATCTATCTATTTTATACGATGTTAGGTACTTTTCCAAAGGATTTTTCCAGAGCGGTAACTTCCCAAGGGTATTTTCCCAAATGTGTAATTAACCAAGCAGCAGCTTCCCAAGTCCGTCCTAGACGCAGCGCTAGCTTGTTCTAGCCGCGGCGCTCGGCCCCCAGTTCATCCTAGCCGCAGCGCTTGGCCCCCCATTGCAGCCTGCGGTGTCTCATAGGCCCTAACCTAACCTTTGGGAAGTTACCGCTTGGGAAATTGCACATTTGGGATGTTTCCATTTGGGAAATTGACACTTGGGAAGTCACCGTTGAAAAATGCCTTTGGGAAAGTACCCTAACACTATTTATACCAACTGCCCCCCTTCCTAGACTAATTTTCAACATCTAATATTTCGGATGTTATTTTTCTAATCTCCATTTTTTTCATATTTTAATGAACTCCTTTTTAATATAATTGAAAATCTTAACCTCACAGTTGCACACCCCCCCCTTCCCCCTACCCACTACCTCCTTAAATATTTCTTTATGTATGAAAATATGAAAATCATGAACCCCGGCCCCTAATACCTTAAATTTTCCATATTTCATATTTTGTTTTATTTTGATTTATTTTATTTTATCTCAGTTTTTAGTGCTCCTCTGAGTTTTTCTATTTTTCAAAAATTAATTTGAACATTTTTAAGACAGATTTTCGAACCCAAAATAACAAAGAATCTGAAAATATATCAATTTGTTATGTTAAGTTCTTTGATCCAAATTTTAAATTCAACAACATTTTAAGGACAATTCGTGATGCTTTTTTACCTCAATTTTTTCTTTAATAACAGGTCTTGGTGAATCCTGAGGGGGTATCCATCTTTTCCTGAAGAACAATTAAACATCAAAATAAATTCGCTGTTACTGATCAGGAAATTATTTGATTTGATTTAATGTAATAAAAAATCATATCTTTTGCTTGTCCATGTTTGTTTGGGTGTTTGTTGGTTTGTTTCCATTATTACTCCAACAAACGTAAAAACAGCTGAGCCCATCGGGCCCAAATTTTGTGTGGGACCTCACATGACCCCAGGGAAGGTTTAGGATACTAATTTTTGTTGTAGTTTCAATTTCTCTAACTAATCATAACGATTTTAATAGAGTCTTTATAATTTTTTAAGTTTATAAGGAAACACACTGTGTATACATTGTAAAAAAGGATCAAAAACATATGTACCGTGGAAGACGACATTTAAATGGAGTGGGTACTAGACACATAAAAACAAAACACCCAAAGTGCTGAAACATCTAATTTTTCAAAAAACCTTTACGTAAAAAAACCTAAATTTTATTAAAGGGTAAACACATCTAAATTCCATGGAAAGGTTAATGTAAAAAACACCTAAAATTTCATGGAAAGGTAAATGTAAAAAACACCTAAAATTTTTCTCAATTACATCTAAAGATAAGACAACTAAGAAAAAGTGTGATGCTTTTTTATATACCCCTGTAACAACCTCAGATAGACTCCAGATAAACTTTAAGTACACAAAATTCCCAACTGACTCCATCTCTCTTCCTATCCGCAATAAGACAAGGTTTGCATCGAACTAATCTTTATTTTAAAGAATAATAATATTGCTCGTACCGGCGTAGCGGTCAGCTCATTCAAATACGAAAATATGTATTTACAAGGTTAATTCAAAGTTAAAAATTTAGATGCTTTTTTAATTCAAAGTCAAAAATCTAGATGCTTTTAATTCAAAAATAAAAATTTAGCTGTTTTTTTTAATTCAAAGTCAAAAATTCAGATTATTTTAATTCAAAGTTAAAAATTTAGATGCTTTTTTAATAAAAGTCAAAAATTTGGATGCTTTTTAATTCAAAGTTAAACATTTAGATGCTTTTTCAATTCAAAGTTAAAAATTTAGATGCTTTTTAAATTCAAAGTCAAAAATTTAGATGCTTTTTAATTCAAAGTTAAAAATTCAGATGCTTTTTTAATTCAAAGGAAAAAATTTAGATGCTTTTTAATTCAAAGTTAAAAATTTAGATGCTTTTTATTCAAAGTAAAAAATTTAGATGCTTTTTAATTAAAAATTAAAAATTTAGATGATTTTTTAATTCAAAGTAAAAAATTTAGATGCTTTTTAATTAAAAATTAAAAATTTAGATGCTTTTTTAATTCAAAGTTAAAAATTTAGATGCTTTTTTAATTCAAAAAGGTGTTCTGTATCTTTCCATGTTTTGAAAATAAATTGTTCTGCACACGTTGGATGTAATTGGACATTTAGATGTTTTGAAATTTAAGTGTTATAATTTTTTGTATTAGTTTTGTACAAACAACATTTAGATTATATTTCTCTCTTTACCTGGCTTCCTTTAGTTCCCGAATTTCCTCCTCCCGTCGTATTCTTTCTAAATCTACATCAGTCTCGTTCAAATCCTTAAAAACAAATATAGTTTCTTTCTCCGAATATTCTTTAAACCAAATCAAATTAAGAATTATACCTTTTTCAAAATTTGATCAAGTGTGATTAACTTTTTCCGGGGAGGCCTGCAGAGTTCTAAAAACATGTTTCAAAAATAAATAAATTTAGAGAAGTTTTATATTTTCTACCTTGATCACAGCTGTTTCCGTTTTCGAATAAGTTTGTGAATGTTTTATTTAATCTTCCTGGCTCAAACTGAGACAACCCTATAGACAGATTATTTTTATCATTACTCATAGTAGCATCCTGGTTTCCCTGGTAGAAATTTGATCTTCTCTTGACAAGGTTCAGATCTCCAACACTCAGCCCAGTTCCCTGAATCAACGAAGATTTTGAAATTTTTCAACGATTAAAAACGAAATAAACTTAAAGGGACTGTCTTTCTAATTTCAAGTAACTCTTTATTTAAAAAAGGGGCATGTCCAACTTACAACTGTACCTTTTAAACCTTGATCTGATCTAAAATGTTGTTGGTGTTTTTCTAGCATTTCCGTATCGTTTTCCAACGGCAGAAATTCACCAGTCACTTTTGAAGCAATATCAAAAGTAATCCCTTTTTAAAATTAAAAACATGGAAATCTGAAGTATTAAAATCTCAAAATCGGGAAGATAATATCCAAAATGTAATAAAACTGCTAACATTTTTGTTTAGGTTTTTAAACTTCTTTGGGGGTCTTTAGCGTTATTTTTATGCACTACATAAGAAAAATGATTCAAGTATGCTGAGAAACCGGTTTATGATAAAGTTTCGTAGATTTTGTTAAAATAATTTGTTCATTTGTAAAGAAATCGAATTATATTTGTTTTGAAATATTCTAGATCAAATAAATCATAAGTACTAAATACAAAGGACTCAAAGAATTAAAAATGAACAAAATTTCCAAAAACTTTTTAACAATTTTGAAGTTTTCTTACATGATACTGAAATGATACTTTCCTGCCTGTTTGCATGTTTGAATACACAATAATGATTTTTAATTGATTATGTAAAATATGTAAATATATAATAATTATTTAACAAATAAAGCATATAGATACTTTAATGATAACCTTCCCTCTTCCTTCAAAAATATGTTTAAGTCTTTAGCTGAACCGAATAGAACAAAATCATATAAATTAGAACGGGTTTTAAACAAAAATTTTGAAAGCTTTCGGTCCGCAATGTTTCCTAAATTGTGGAATGAAATTGAAATTGACCTTAAAGAAACTAAATCTGCAAAAATATTTAAACAAAGAGTAATCAATAATTATTTTGAGAATTATGAGAGGTTTAAATGCGAAAACCCTAGCTGTATATCGTGTAAATAAATTTTATATAAAAAAAATGAAATAACTGAAACTTTATTAGCTTATTTCTGTTTCTGTAACTACCATCATTAACACCCTGTATTTTAATTTATCTCTACATAAAAATCCTTCTGATCCCATCCTGCCACAGATCACCTGACAATCTCCTTCCTTCCAATCAACTCCTTACCTATCCAAAAACATATCTTGATATGTGTAACCAACTATATTCAGTATCGTTAATTAACTTCGGGCCAACCACTTAAAACAACCAACCCTGGTTAGGCGGGTCCAAACTACATAGTAAATTGTGATTGCTTATTTGTAATATCTCATGCTTTGTAGTTGAATAAATATATGAATATGAATATATAATAAAGGTTTTAAATCAATTATGTAAAATATGTAAATATAGAATTGATTATCTCCACCGAAAGTCGCTTCTATAATAAGTGTGTATTAATATATGACCTATCTACTGACTTCTAAATTCTACTCCTCTACCCAGAACCCGGAGGTCGGGGCCTAATAATGACCTCTCTACTGACTTCTAAATTCTACTCCTCTACCCAGAACCTGGAGGTCGGGGCCTAATAATGACCTCTCTACTGACCTCTAAATTCTAATCCTCTACCCAGAACCTAGAGGTCGGGGCCTAATAATGACCTCTCTACTGACCTCTAAATTCTAATCCTCTACCCAGAACCTAGAGGTCGGGGCCTAATAATGACCTCTCTACTGACCTCTAAATTCTCATCCTCTACCCTGAACCTAGAGGTTGGGGCCTAATAATGACCTCTCTACTGACCTCTAAATTCTCATCCTCTACCCTGAACCTGGAGGTTGGGGCAGCAGACTCCGACCTCTTCTTGTCAGCCTCGTTAAAATACCGTCTAAAGAAAAGTTTTTTTTAATAAATTTCTCAACCAAAATAAAAGGGACTGTAAGCGTAATTTCAATTAACCCTCCAAACAAAGAGGGCAATGCCCGATTTACAAAGGTACACTTTTAATCTTTGACTGTTAATCAAGTAAAGAGATCTCTTTGTTTAAATATCTTGAAAACCACTTGATCTCTCTAAAACGCCGTGTACGCTATGTACAGTTTGACCTCAACACAGCTGATGCGCTACTTAATTGTTTAACTTGACATTACCGAATATTTAACATTAAAAATGTTTCCAAAAATTCGAATATATATATTTATTTTCTGCCGATTCTAGAAAGTAAATATTAATATTTTAAAACTTAAAACAGTTTGCAAACAAAGTGTTCCAATTCAGTGCTTTTTTGTAGATTAATGAGAATAAGTCCCACGGCCACAACGTTGATCAGCTGAAGGCTTTTTAGGGTACTTAAAAATACACTCACCCATTAAGCGCGATTGATAAAAAAAGGTTCAACAAAACAACTTTACAACTTAAATTTTTGTAGTTTAAACAATGAAAAAATTGTTAAAGAATCAATTGAAAACGTGGAAAATGTCAATATCGATAAAAAGGCGACATTTTAAAATTGTGTTTACCTTGCAGATTTTACTTTTTCCATTTCTTTCTTTTTCTCCTCTCTCTCTTTCTCTCCTGCTTCATCGAGCTTGATCATTTCCCTAGAAATAGGCTATGGAAAAAAAGCTATTGAAACATCAAGTTATTCCAAAATCAGGATATTTTAAAAAGCAGACTATATCAAAAAATCCGACTATTGTAAAAATCAAACTATTCAGAATCAGGCTTTTTAAAAAATCGGGCTTTTAAAAAACTCAAATTCAAATATCATTTTTCTTTGAATACAAGTTATAATGTTTATTAAAGGGACTAAGCGTTACTTTTAATGATCAATTCATTTTTAAAAAAGAAGCATGCCTGATTTACAACAGGACCCTTCAAACCTTTACCTGATCAATAAAATGGAAGATATCGTTTCATTTCTAGCTTAACAAGTGTTTATTACTGATAATTTCCTCAGTGTTTCTGTAGAAGAAATTTTCAATTTACTTTTGCAGGGAAAACCAGTTTTTAGGGAAAAAAAACATGGCTATTCAATTCATACTTGATTAGACAACACTTTAAGGTACCCTTGTTAATAGGACATTCCACTTCCAATTATAGAATGTCAATTGAAATTATATGCTCTAGGAATAAGAATTTTATATCAATATACACTTTACAGGCCACAGGGAACTGTGATTTAAAGGTCTCACGCTCTCAAGCAAAAATCGATGAGAGTTTGGCCAATTATTTCTTAAAAACTAAAGCTAACAACAAGTGTTTTTCAATGCTAAAATGTATATGTAAAGGGCTACAGAAAAGCATAACTGAGTTAGAGCGGTAAAATCTAAGTACAAGGCGTTGCGACACTTCAAAGTTGAATCTGTATTAAATATTGATGAGACTGTTTAAGCATCCTAAATCTATGTGCTAGGGTGTTCCAAGAAACAGGGGAATTCATGTGACGACTTTTATATCGTCTTCGATCCATGCGGCGTTTATACATGAACACAATTATTGCAGTTTCCCAGCTTAAACATCTATTATCGAAAACACCTGGTCTTGAGATTTTTAAAATGTGGTCTACCATTTTCTTCTTTAAAAATTGAGGTAAATATTGCAAAATTTGTACAAATTTCAATTTATTTCAGAAATCAAAATTGTCTTAATATTTAATCTTTGTCAATTTTTAAGTTACTTAAGAAAAGTAGACAACTTTATAGAAAAGCTCGTCAGACATACAGCCTCGGTGTTTTACTTTTTTTCGTGCATTAAATGTTAGAAATCAAATAAAACTTTCAAGTCGTCTCTCAATTCCATGTTTATTGGGACACTCTGTATGAATATGTCAAAACTAATAAATAAAACAATTTTAATGAAAAGCTGTAAAAAGCTGTAAAAGTTTTTTACGATATCTTTCAGAAAAGCTCAATGCTCAGTGCCAATATATGTAACGATTGTTAAGTTTAAGTGTTTCCTAACTTTAAAATCTTAACTTTTACATAATAAATACATTACTGAACATTTAAAAAAATTGTACGAATATATATTCTATTGAGTTATTTTGAAAAAAAAACATATCTTTTCCCAAGAAATATTTCTTATTTTCGAATAATTCTTGTTGCAATTGTCCCATTAACATGCTTTAAAGGGAGTGTTCACGAAAAATGAAAGGGGGTATAGGCTTAAACTGCGAAAAATAATCGCTTTTTATTGCTACTAATATTACTTCTATCTGTTGCGTCTATAAGGAGAAAATTGTTAAAAACGTCTCATAAATTTGGAAAGTTGCAACATTCAACTCTGATTGTAAAATCATCAATTTAATTCCAAACAAATCATTCATTTATTACAAACAATAGTCATCGATTATTTTTCGACGCATTCTTATATAGTTAATATTACATAATATTTTTGATGTTTGTTTAAAAATAATAATTAACTGGCGTTTTTTAACATTCCTGGAAAATATGAATATGTTGTCTTCATTATCAAAAATCTTCGAAACAGGAATAAAAGTTTTTAAAAGTAATTTTCAGATCATAAAAACTAAAGAAATGTCGTCTTTTATTCACGAATCAAAGCCATAGATTAATTAACAATAACAGATGGAAGAACTCTAAACAGAAGCCCAAAGGAGTTAGGCGTATGCCGCGTTGAATGACAAGACAGAGAGAGCGTAAACGAAAAATCCCTAAATCTTGAAAAGACGACATCTAGTGTTGTTGTTAATTAATCTATGATCAAACAAGCAAAAAGTTTTACCTAAACTCTTTCCCCATAGTTCTCAACAATTCTATCTCTGCTTGCTTAATTCTCTTAGATTCCTCAACATTCCTTATTATTTTTTTAAAAGTGTTTTTACTTCAATTGTTTTATTTTAATATTTTTAGTATCAAATGTACTTTTTACCTTGCATTTGGATCTATGTTTAAATTGAATGATCTTATAGGGGGAGCTACATCCTAAAAAGTAAAAAAACGTATTTTTTTAAAATTTTTTTTTTAATTTACCTTTTTCTGTCTCTTCGTTGTTTTGTCTTTTGTGTCGTCATCTTTTGAAATAGTCTCTTTCGTCTCAATTCCGCGGGCTTTTTCATCGTTTGCGGAGTCGTCTCCTTTCTTTTTGTTCCAAAACCATCCTTTCTTTTCTTCTTTATTTTCTTCTTTCTTTTCCTCTTTTTTCTCTTCTAATTCAACTTTCTTTGATTCAACTTCTTTTACGACCGATTGTTTTGGTTCCCACTTCTTAAACTTAGTCTTTTTCGGTTCTACTTTTTTAGTGTCTGGTGGTTTTGGAGTCCATGTTTTAGTCTCCAGCTGTTTAGGTTCCCAGTTTTTAGACTCCTGTTTTAGGCCTGTAATCTTGACGGGGTCCTGCAAATCATCAAGGAATAGCAAAAAAATGACTAAATTAAAAACAAAATTTAAAAATATCTTTTACTTTTGTTTGAATCACTGGCTTTTTCCATCTGGGTGCAGGTTTAGGGGTAGCAGAAGCAGATTCCTTGAATATAATATTTTGATTCGGTAAAAAAAGTCATTGGATGATAAAATATATCTATGCACTATTGAAGTTGTATTATCTTAGCCAGAGAAATATTTTTTGCTCAAATTGACTAGGAAGTGTGCTAAAGGAGTTGAGTCTAAGTACCACATTTTCTAATCCCAATATCTTTGCAATCCAATGGCGTAGACCTTATGATATAAATTCAAACTATGAGTTCTGCTAAATGAAATAATCATAAGTTTGAAATATCAAAGGTTTACACTATCAGATTGCAAAGATATAGGGATTTGAAATGTTTTGGCAAAGACTAACAAATTGCGATAAAATTAAAGAAATGTTACTGTGTCATGTATATAATATACATATATGTATATTATATACATGACACAGTTTGATGGAGACAAATATTTGAAATTTTGATCATTCATAAACCTTCCCTGGGGTCCCTAGATGTCCCACAAAAATTTGGGCCCGATCGTTTCAGCCGTTTTGACGTTTATTGGATACAAACAAACAGACAGACAAGCCAAATTTATATTTAGATAGATATATATACAGTGGTAGGCGATTTTATCAATTTAATGAAGACGACATTGGATTTTTTAACTAGTGCATAGATACACAAAAACATGGAAACAAAGAAAAGCTCCCAGCAAGAAAAAATACAAAAAACGGAGGGGAAAAGGTGCAACGTTAATCATGTTGCGGAGATTGAAAAACGGAACTCTGATTCTCCAAAAATGGAGGTTCGGCGTTATTCTATACTGATGCGATTGAGGTGCACCGTTCGGTAACCGAACGGAGTGATTTGAGGTGCACCATTTTTACTCCTCTTTTGGAGCTCCACTAATACACCTCTTTTGGAGCTCCGTTACTACTCCTCTTTTGTAGCTCTGTTACTACTCCTCTTTAAAAAGGGTTAGTTTAGAGCACCTTTGCTACACCTTTTCTAGAGCACTGTTTGCTAATTGAATTAATTATTAGATATTCTTTTAAAAATTTGAGGTAATTAACATTAACAAACATTAAAGAAAAAAAATCAAAGCAAATTATTGCTACAATGAATATTATAATCTTCAATTAACTCTTCTAACATAATTATTGAGTTTTTTGGAAAATGGGACAGCTGAAGGGGGGCCGGGGGGGGGGGTACGTGATTCTTTGTAGTTGGTATTCTGGAATAATTGAGAGGGCCGGGTTGTCTGATGTCTCGTAAATTTGTTTTATTATCAAAATCATGAAAAATAGATTGGAAAAGGAACATATTACTCTGAGCCTCTTCATATATAATATGTGATTGGGGGGGGGGGGGGGGGCAGCAGACCAACTCACCCTTTTAGATAATCAATTTCTTTAAAACACATAAAAACATCACTGTTTTATTTTATTGGTTCTTATGAGCATTAATTAATTTTATACAGAGTTACCCACAAAGGTTGCAACTTTAATGCAACGATCTTAATGAAATCTTAAATGGAAAAAAAACATTTCTATAAAATACTGCACTATCAACTCAACTAGCATGTCTAGCCGGTCACTCCCTTTAAGTCTCATCTTTTGCGAGGAATCACTAACCCTCGTACCTGAATTTTCTGTACGTGTTGACCCCTTGTCCCTGCTGGTTCCTTGATTTCCTTCTGTTTCTCAATATTCTCCTGGGTTTGCTGACGTTGAAGTCTCCGGTAAATGTAGCGCAGAAGTAGTCCAGCCATACACAGGACAACGATAAATACAGAACACACAAATACTAAACAAAAATAAATTTGTTCATAGAATCTTAACAAAAAACATTTCAATAAAGAAACTTGACACATCCCTTAAATTCTAATTTTCCAATCCCTATCCTATAAGTTTCAAGTATCATATGGGTTTAAAACAAATATGGTTTTGAAAATTAGAAAAACAGATTTTTCATGGAGTCTAAAACTTTAGGATTGTTTATCAGTTTAATCATTTCTTTCCAAAGTATAAAAGTAAATCATTTAATTTTAAATTCTTATTTTATACAGTTTATAGTTTATAATAAAACGATTATTGCATATTAAGCTTGATACTAACTATGCATGTACAATTATGTGTCCAGCTTTTTCGAACTAATTTTTTAACATTAAAAAAAGAATAAGTTTGTTATCTTAACTATCGTTTCTTTATATATTTCAGGTAAATATTTAGTTGATAAAAAACAAATTTTATCAACGAGAATTTGCCTATGCAAAAGTTTTCAGCTATTATTGAGTCAACAAATAAAAATTTATACTATTGTACAAATTGTACATTGCACTATACCTGGGAACTGGGGATGATCTATATGTGATCTCTGCTCAATATAAACCAAAACCTTCTTCATGCTTTCAAGTATACTCTCGCGATTCAAGGGTCCAACATCTATAAGTCGCAAAATTTTTTTCAATCAAAAAAATTGATTTAAAAAAACCATTTTATATATCTTTTAAAAATGTTTAAAGGTTTCTTATCATTACTTTATTGAATAAAATTCAATTCAAAAAAGAAATGTATTTACAGGTTAATGAAATACTCAAATTTTAAGATTACAAAGAAAAAAAAGATTCAGCTATTGAAAAATTCTTTGAAAACTTTTTAATAAAAAAGTGTGGTATTGGAAAACCTGTATACATAGGTTGACCATTAATACGTCTTGAAACCTTTCTCCAATAGATGTCGTCTTGAAATCAAATCCCCTATCAAAATCCTTTTACAGGAACTGTAAGCGTAATTTCAAGTGTAACTCCATGCAAAGATGGCAATGTCCGATTTAAAACAGAACCCTTAAAAGCTTTGTCTGATCAAGTATGAATTAGATATCAACGGTTTCGCTTCTTTAAACTGTTCATTTTACTTGTGGATTCTCTGCGAAAGTAAGTTGCGCATTTTGTTCTTATAAGAAGCAATGGCGAAATTACAAGAATAAAAAACACGTTTCCAGTCCAAAAAACGACGGTGTCTTCCACATTTTGATCAAGGTTTCAAGGGTACCGTTGTAAATCGAGCATTGCCGTCTTTGCATGGAGGGTCCCGCTATCTATCCCTTCAAAGAAAAAGCTATGAAAAATTTAACTGAAAATCTGCGAATTCCTGGAAGAAAATCCTTGATATCGATATTTTTCAGAAAATCCTTCAAATCTACACTTTTGAGGTAGGCCAGAACTTCAAGATGCGACATTTTGATGCTTGATTGAATTGATTTCTAAATATGTTTCTTATTCTTTGTCGTGGTTTGATTTTTGTTAAGATGTTGATTTAATAATGATGGGTTTTTTATCTTTTCTTGAAACTTTTATCTTTATTTCTAGGTTGATCGTCTTGATAAGTCACATGATCTCAAGTTTGGCTGCAGTTTCGTTCTCCTGCAAAACAAAACATAATCTTGCAAAAATTCTTCAGTTGTCCGTGGTAAATTCTAAAATTGTAAATTTGCAAAATGTGAATTAGAAATTTTTAAATCTTGAAATTAACAAATACAAACTTTTGTTAAAAGATGATGTTGAGTATAAAAGACAATGTTCAAGGACTTTCCCAAAGGCATTTTCCACAGCAGCAACTCCCAAGTGACAACTTCCCAATTGTGCAATTTCCCTAGAGGCACCTTCCTAAGTCTGATATCCACAGCGTCATTCCCCTTCCGCCCCTTAGCCCATCCAAGCCGCAGCGTTCGGCCCCTTTAACAGCAGAAGACCTAACCTAATCTTTGGGAAGTTGCAGCTTGGGATATTACACATTTGGAAAGTTGCCATTTTGAAAATTACACATTTGGGAAGTTGCCACTTGGAAAAGTACACATATTTTGGAAGTTGCCACTTGGGAAATTTCCCATTTTGGAAGTTGCCACTTGGGTAATTACCCATTTTGGAAGTTGCCACTTGGGAAATTTCACATTTGGGAAGTTGCCACTTGGGAAATTGTTACTTGGGAAGTTAAAGAAATTATAAATATTTGAAATGCTAATGAGTTGAAATGATAATGAGTTAAAATGATATTGAGTTGAAATTATAAGAGTTGAAATGATCATGAGTTGAAATGATAATAAGTTGAAATGATATTGAGTTGAAATGATCATGAGTTGAAATGATCATGAGTTGAAATGATAATGAGTTGAAAGTATCATGTGTTGAAATGATATTGAGTTGAAATGCTAATTAAATGATAAAGAGTTGAAATGATCATGAGTTGAAATGATATTGAGTTGAAATGATCATGAGTTGAAATGATCATGAGTTGAAATGATAATGAGTTGAAAGTATCATGTGTTGAAATGATATTGAGTTGAAATGCTAATTAGTTGAAATGATCATAAGTTGAAATGATCATGAGTTCAAATGATAATGAGTTAAATGGTAATGAGTTGAAATGATCATGAGTTAAAATGATATTGAGTTGAAATGCTAATAAGTTGAAATGATCATGAGTTGAAATGATCATGAGTTGAAATGATAATGAGTTGAAATGATAATGAGTTGAAATGATCATGAGTTGAAATGATCATGAGTTGAAATGATCATGAGTTGAAATGATAATGAGTTGAAATGATCATGAGTTGAAATGATAATGAGTTTATATCGTTATTTTAACATTTACCAATTGTTTTCAACAAAAATTTAGATTTTTCCCATGTTACAATTGTTAATTTTTTTAAATTCCGAGTAGCTTAAAATTTCAAAAAAAATCGATTAAAATTAACTAATTTTTTTACCTTGTTTTATAAAAAAAAGCTTTTTTCTCTTACGTTTCTGGGGTTTTATTGTTCGAGTCTCATTTTAGATAGTTTTCACTTCTGAAAATAGATTATAATCAGTAAAAATATATTTTTTTAAGCTTTGCTCTTATACGTATATATTTGTATGTTAGCTATAACTGGCCTAAATTGACGGACATTTTTGGAATGAACCCATAGGTGTGGGGTATTGTGCTAAACGATTTGAAATTTTTCTCTTTAAAAATCATTTTATTTGAAATGAAGAAATATGTTTTTTTTATGTTATTCTCACAAATATCTTTCAAAAAACCGGTTTTTTTGCTTATAATTTTTTTCAAAACTTTATTTTTTTTCACGGGCAACCCAGGGCACTTTAACTAGTCTTAAATTAGATCGGTGTATAATGATTTTCAGCCTTAACAGGACTATCGTTGGAATTTCAAATAATCCTCCATGTACGATTCCCTCTGGTACCCCTTTTCTTATTTATTTATCATGTGCTTTATTTGAACAATTTCTTCCAATGTCTAGCTAAAGCAGAAATGCACAAGTTATATTTCAAAAAACCTGCAAAAGAAAATAATCTAATTACGATGAGAAAATATTGGATATACGTTGAATAGGTATTTTAATCGTGTTGATACCGTTGTGAAAAGAACATGCCCCTCTATAAAATGGAGAGTCAGTTGAAATTATGTTTTCAGAGTTGAAAACTTTAGAATGGGATATCCTTAATTCCGATCGTTTAATTAATCTGGAGATCAATAACAAGAGGAGAACAAGCATTTTTTAATCTGAGCTGAAAACTTTAGAATGGGATATCCTTAACCCCGATCGGTTAATTAATCTGGAGATTAATAACAAGAGGAGAACAAGCAATAAATAATCTGGAGATTAAGAAGAACAGGAGATCAAGAATTAATCTCGATATCCACCATTCAAAAGTGTTTAGCTCTGTTCAGTCTAAAAATGTCACAATATTAACTTTCAAAAAAAGATGATTTGAAATAAAGATGTTTGTTTTCAAGGTTTTAATTTCAAATCTACAAAAAAGTTTGTTGTGATGTTTATTTGTACGTTATCTGGTCAATTGACGTTTGACAGATGTATAAAAAGAAAAGACTTTTAAAAATAAAACTGGCCCCTTTTTCCGGGTTTTTTGTTTTGCTAATGAATGAAAATATCTATTCCAGCAAAGAAACCTTCAAATTGTTATTTAAAATTCTGTATGATGAGTTAAGTTGTGATTTTAAAAGATAAAAAAAAACCAAACGTATGCACAACAATTATTTGAATTTGAAACGAGATTCATTTAAGAACAATAAATCTTATTAAAAATCTACTGAATGCTATTTGAAATTTTTTCAGATATTTTTATGTTTTAATGATGGGTTTTATCTGAAATTCATTAGGCTTTAATGCAAAAAAGAACGATTAACATTTAATCAAAATTATTTCACTTTAGCCATCGCTTTTATTTCACATAAAATTCACAAATATTTAAAATTTTTTCGTTTAAAATGTAATGATTATCATATTGCCACATAATTATTTACATATTAACACGTTTGTTGAAAAATGAAAATTGAAAATCTTTCAAAATGTTAAATAAGCTTTCTCCAGTGCAGAGTTGAACAAAATCCAGGAAAAATGGCGGACAGTTTCGTGGATTTTCAGGACATCTAGTTACTAGGCCAGATGCGGTCAAACTGCATTGAAATTTCATAGAATATTAAAAAGGGGGAAGGTGGCAGTATTATAAGTTTAAAAGCTTCTAAAAGAACCGTTTCAGCTAAAAGCAAAAAATTTGGGACGAAATTAAATAATTTGCTAAATCCATAATAGATGAGAAATGAAACACCTGAAATAGCGAAGAGAAAGGTATATATCTTTTCATCTTTCTCATAATTTCCCAACCTTCTCATCCTTCTCATCCGTATAATCCTACTCATCATTTCCCATCCTTCCCATCCTTCTCATCATTGGGGGTCAACTTTAGGCAGAGAAGGGGGGGGAGGGGGTTAACTTAAAACTTCACAAAAAAAATCTTTAATCTTTTCGAATTAAAAAAGAGAGGGTTGAACTAAATGTTTAAAGAAAGATAGAGAATGAATCAAAATTAACTTTGTAAGGAAGAAGATAATTCTTTCATGGGGGTTGCAACCCCCCCCCCCCTGCTTTAATTAATTAGCATACTATACAGGATGTCAAGACGATGTAAAAGTTGTTAAAAAGAGATTAATATCCTAATCCAAATTGAACACCTTTATAATTTGAAAAACCTTTTTGCCCCCCCCCCTTCTTTCTTTTATAATCAAGCTATACGTACGTGACAATAAAATTTAAAAACAATTTCGTTTATTTCTAAATCTGAATGTTCTAAAAACTTTATGATGGAGACAATATAACGTGAAACTAATGGTTTTGGTTGTTTTATAAACACAGCAGATGCGGTTGTTCTAGCATGGTTTATCAGCAACAGTTTGCTCCTGTTGATTTAAAGGTTATTTTAACATCTGACACACAGACAATTCAATACAATAGTTTAAACTTTTAAATTTAAACAGAAAATTAAAGTGTAGAGTGTAGAGTGTAGAGTGTAGAGTGTAGAGTGTAGAGTGTAGAGTGTAGAGTGAAAAGTGTAGAGTGTAGAGTGTAGAGTGTAGAGTGTAGAGTGTTGAGTGTAGAGTGTAGACTGCAGAGTGTAAATTGATCAATGGTATTCATAATTCTTTTGTAATTCATATTATACTTTCTTCATATTTTTGAATGAATGGTGTACGGTTTGAATGATAAATAATAAGTTGCAATATACATTTATAAGCAAGATTTTACAATTCACCTATTCGCTTCTAACATTACATCTAAAGTATTTGTTAAGTCTCAGAAGAAACTTACACTAGAAAAGCTTTGATTTTTATCGTAAAGCTAAGAGAAGTATTTAACCTGTTCTCTCACGTTTTCATTTTAGAAATTATTACTATGTTCAGCCAATCAACCAAAAAGTTTGCTTCTTTAGCAGTCTTTTACTGGCTTCGAGAAGGATTCCAAGGGATATTGCAGGGCTCATGACCGCGTGCCCCCNCCCTCATGAAATGTTTTTACAAAGGTGCTACCTCTTTTTATTATAGAGCTGAAATAGTTTTGATTAATAGTAGAAGTTACAAAAGATATTTAAAGATATTTCAATAATTTATTTAAAGTTTAACTCAAATCTCTACATCTTATACCAGATTTTATTTTGTTTTGATCCAAATAGTTTCTGAATTATTCCAAAGCAATTAGGGGAAGGAAAACAGGCAAAATATCTATCTTAATAAAAAACTATAATGTGTGATAAGTTAAAAATCTCGTTTTTAGTCATCTTTCATTAATTTTAACACTTATTGAGTTTTTCAGGTCAATTTTTTTTAGCTAGGTATGTGGCTAGTTTTTGACTCACCCTGTACAGTATGTATGTAGGTAGGTAGGTGGGTAGTTTTTGACTCACCCTGCAAAGTAATAAGGTAGGTAGGTGGCTAGTTTTTTACTTACCCTGTTAAGTATGTAGGTAGGTAGGTGGCTAGTTTTTGACTCACACTGTATAGTATGTAGGTAGGTAGGTGGCTAGTTTTTGACTTACCCTGTAAAGTATGTAGGTAGGTAGGTGGCTAGTTTTTTACTTACCCTGTATAGTATGTAGGTAGGTAGGTGGCTAGTTTTTGACTTACCCTGTATAGTATGTAGGTAGGTAGTGGCTAGTTTTTGACTCACCCTGTATAGTATGTAGGTACTCGGTAGGTACGTAGGTAGGAGGGTAGTTTTTGACTTACCCTGTATAGTATGTAGGTAGGTAGATGGGTAGTTTTTGACTCACCCTGTAAATAGTATGTAGGTAGGTAGGTGTCTAGTATTTTACTCACCCTGTATAGTATGTAGGTAGGTAGGTGCTGGCTAGAGATTTGAATAGAACTAATTGGATTAGGGAGTCCTCAATGTATAATATATAAATTATCCTTCCTTAGTGGTGTACTCAGGGCCCCCCTAGATCAATGAAAACTTTTTTTTGGGCCCCAATGAGTGCTGTACCATCCCCCCCTCCCCCGAAAGACAGAAAAATTGCCCCCCCTGGACAAATTCATGAGTACGCCCATGTCCTTCCTCAATAGTTCAAATTTTTTTCATGTTAAAAATTGTAAATAGTAAAAGTTACAGGTTTACCCACAAAGAATGTGACTGTAAAGACGACCTGAAAGTCTTTTGATATGACGATTCCTTAAGACGAATTTAGGTCTATTTAGTTTTATTTATTGTGCAAAGAAACAAGTTTTACAAGTTTTATAGGAAACTTAAATTACCTTGTAGGTATCTGTCCTCGTAAACTTTACTTTTTTATCATTTATTTTACTATTTAAACTTAAAGTTTTTGCGCATTTTCTTTTTACTTTAGGCTTTTCAAAATTATTAATTTAAAAATTTTGTATGGTACACATTTCTTTCATTTTTACCATTTCTGTTTCTTAAAAAATGCATTAAAAATATCATCCTACATATTGCACAAGAATATTAATGGGGGGGGGGGGTTAAAGAGAAAGTGGTCCAAAATATAGTCCTTTCTTGCCTTTATAACCCTTTCCCCCTATTTTCTGCCCCTTGCTTCTATTTCTAAATAGAAATTATATTTCTTTGACTAGATAAATTAGGTCGGGCTGAAATTTGTAACAAATATCCCAAATTTCTGTCCTGAAATTATATTTGCGTTGAAATTTTACTACTTTCATTCAATGTGACTTTTTCTTTTCTCTTTCTATTGTTTCCTTATTTATACATATATTTAATCTCTGGTTTTTTAATAATGGATTTGCTCTTTTGCAATTCTTATTATTCCTTTTTTCTTCCATGTTTTCAAATCTACATCGATACATACAGTTCCTTCCTTTCTAAATATACCCAATTCCACATGATTCATTTGTTAGTGAGTAAAGAATTAAATGTTCACATTAAGCACATTCCGTGCGCGCTCCCCTCCCCCCACACACACATACAATATGACTATGTCTCTGTGCGTTACATTCTAGCAGTCGGCACTCAACCTTCTCTCCGTGTACAGTTTACACCTAGCGCTCCGTCCGGCGTCTACTCTAACCTAGACCCAGAGCTTTGAGCTCCCAATTATGTGATTAGTTGGTTGGTCCAGCCACAGCGACTAAAATGGTTCTTGGACTTTAAGAGATAAAATAACAGATGTTCTAAGATGGGTAAGACATTTAGTTAAGTAACATCATGATTTAGGACGCACAAGATCTTATATTTGTTTTGAAATATTTCTCAAAGCTTGAAAAAGAAATAGTACAGTTTTAAACATTGAGTTTATTAAAACACATTCGTAATGCATGAAATATTTGTTCACTTTTTAATAAATTTGTAGTTTTTCTATACAAAAAAAATGATAATTAATGCATGCTTTACAACTGTTACTTTGGTTCTAATTTTAAGTTTTAACTATTAATATTAACACAAATAATATTTAAACGAAAAAAAAATTGCGTGGATTTCACTGTTTCATTGGTTGATTAACAGTAATTTTTAATCGCTGCATTCATTAGTTCCGACCTTTCTGGGGACATATTGCGAACAAGTTGGTCCGATTGGCTCAGCAGTTTTGACGTTTATTACGCTTGATTTAAAAGCTCCCTAGCTCACTACTCACTAGTCTAAGCCCTTTTTTAAGGGGACCCCCCCCCCCAAAAAAAAAAAACACACACATGACAACCAAGCCAAATATTAATAACATTAGAACATCTTCTATTTATATGCTTTGCATTTTGTTTGTTTGTTTGTATCCGATAAACGTCAAAACGGCTGTTATTATTTTTGGGGCCTCACGGAAAGATTTATGAATTTTGAAAATCCACGAAAAAAATTGTAAATTCTCAAAAATTTGTATTATTGTTTTATCGAAGAGAAAATGCTAAAGATTAAAAGTTGAAGTTGAAAATGATATAAAAAATAATAGTCTAGTAGATCTTCTCGTTTATTTTAATATTGCTTTTTCAGCCATTTGGTTTAAACAATTTGTCCATTTCATTTCAATCGTCCCCATCATATTTGTGCTAACAATTGTTTGTGCACACTTCTTCGATATTTTTTCTCATAATCAAAAACTTTTTAAACACTATATCATTAATGCGAGAAAACGGAATAAAAATAAGATTCATTTTTTTCTCTAAAATTAACACAAAATTGCAGTACGCAAAAAAAATATATTAATTCTACTAAAATAAAATTTTAAAATTTGTGAATACTAATTTAATATTAGTTCAAAAGCGTCGATTAGTTAAAGAACAAACAAATATATTTCTTATTTTTCAAATCAACCATTTTTACCATTAAAATTAGATTTTTAATTTATCGTAATTTATCCCAATGAATACATTCCCACATCCAACCCTTCCCATTCCCTCCCCCCATCGTATCCCCCCTCTGTATCTCCATCTCATAATTTCCCAACCTTCTCATCCTTCTCATCCGTATAATCCTACTCATCATTTCCCATCCTTCCCATCCTTCTCATCATTTCCCATCCTTTCAATCATTTCCCAACCTTCTAATTCTTCTCATCATTTTCATCTTTCTCATAATTTCCCAACCTTCTCATCCTTCTCATCCGTATAATTCTACTCATCATTTCCCATCCTTCCCATCCTTCTCATCATTTCCCATCCTTCCCATCCTTCTCATCCTTCCTATCCTTCCCATCCATCCCATCCATCCCATCCTTCTCGTCATTCACATCCTTTTATAACATTATCTAAAACTTATATCTCCCCCCTCTATGTTTACCAAACTCTTCCTGTAAATTAACGTTTAACAAAATAAAGAATCTTCAAATCATTCTGTTCTGAACCTTATGCTGGTTAAATTGTCAACCACAGTTAAATATTTAAATTATCTTTATTATTGTCAAACTTTAAATTTTTTTGATAATTGCCTAGTATTCAGCATCTAGGTATAGACACATCTAATATTTAGTATCTCTGCAGTGAGAAATAGAAACTGTGGAATTGAAAGATGAAATCTAAGCAATTCTAAACTGAACTTGCAGATGTTATAAAGAAATTAGTGGAACTATTTAGTAAGTTAATAAGTCACTTTCTAATGATATGGATCTATTTACACTGCACGGTTGTTATATTTTATTTTTATTGAACTACAATTAATATCATATCTAACAGTAGTCGTCTTTTTCCACAGTTTTATGTTTCCCACTGTAGCATCTAACCAAATCTCAAGATAAAAAATTACATAAATTACATTAACCCTATTCCTGCTGGGGGGGGGGTCAATTTGACCCCCCCCCTGTAGTTTTTTTTACATAACTCAAAAAGTATTGGTCTGAGGCTGTTGAAATTTTCTGACTTTTCCTACATACCCAAAGCCTTCCCTTTAGGCCTAAAACCGGGCTTTAATACTAACTGCCTGAGTCCTCAGGCACACTGCCTGAATGACTGCTTTTTCCTGTAGCAAACTTAATCTTTGTTTTGACCCACTTCCACTTGTCAGATTTTGAAAAATTTAGCTTTTTGGATAGCCTTTGACATAAGGAAACGAATTGCACAAGTTTTGCGAAAAAAAAATTGCAAACATTTTGCAAACAACCTGTCAAAAGAAATTTGCACATTTTTAGTTTTTCTTGATTAAAAATCAGGTTATTTAAAATTTTGCAAAATTTTTTGCATATTTGAAATGGCATAGTCAAGGGCTTTTCAAAAATGTATAATTTTTCATTTTTTGGACAAATTTTTTTTTGCAAACATTTTTACTTTATAACTGGATTTTGCGATAAAAAATTCAATTTTTGCAAATTTGCAATTTTTTTTGCAGATTCTAAAAGTAGAGCACAAGAGCTTTCCAATGATGTTTCATTTGTCATATTTGGACATCAAACATGGGATTTAGAGGGGGGGGGGGCAAATTGACCCCCCCCCCCAGCATATCCTGGTTTTCAAGTACCCCAGCAGAGATAGGGTTAACAAACTATCTTAATTACATTTTTTTGTATTTCAGCTGACTACAGAATGACTACTTGTCTTTCTCTTCCTTCGCCAGCCTTTTCCTTTATTTTTTTATTAATAATTCAGGTACATGATTTTAAAAAAATATTTATCATTTATTTTTACATAATTTTCGTAAATCTAATTCTACTCAGTTCTTGTTAGAAAAAATAATTTTTGACAACTATGTTATTTTTATTATTATTTATTATTGTTATTTTTTATCATGTTAACAATGTAATTTTTGTAAATTATATGGAAATCTTAACCCATTAGTGACGAGACAAAAAATTTTTTCTGATCTTGCTGAAAAATACAGGGTTAACTCATTATAGTGTCCATAGAGTAGATCTAAAGTTTCAATTTTTTTCAATAAAGGGTTGTGGAGATACAGAGCCCGGCCAATTTTGTCCGGCTCGGACCAGGTCAAAATTGACCGCTCGGTCAATTTTGACCGTCTGCAACAGGAAACGGTCAATTTTGTCCGTCTCGGCTCGGACAAAATTGACCGGGCGGTCAAAATTGACCGACCTGTCACCTATTTGCAAAACTTGGCATATATGTAGGAAGGATCTGGAATAAAACGAGACAACATTTGGTTTAAAAATGAAGGCGCTAAAAATTAAAAACCTTACCCGGTCAAAATTGACCGTCCCGTCACGAATGGGTTAATAATTATTTTATCTTTTTAGTTAATTTCACCCAGTTGGGGGGACGATGGCGAGGTGGTTAGAACGCGGCGTCAACAGCCTGTGAATATGCCCCAGATTACAGGTTAGGATATATTCTACTACTTTTGCTTTTTTAGCTTTAAAGGGACTGTACGCATAATTTCAAGAGACCCTCCATGCAAGGATGATATTGACTTGTTTACACGTTTTTCGGATTAATAATTATGTTTATTATGCTTACAGCCCCTTTAAATTAAATTTTACCCGGAACCTTGTGTTTGTTTATCAAAAAGATTATAATATTTTCATTGATGGATTATAAATAATTTTTTTTCAAGATTATTTTGAGGCAAAATTTGTAACAAACTCTGATTTTCTTAAACCTATATTTTTTCACCTGATGGTGTAAACCTTTGATATTTCAAACTTAGGTTCTTTCATCTTACGGAATTCATAGTTTGAAATATCTAAGGTCTGCGGAATTGGGTTGAAAAGATATAGAAAGATTAGAAAATCATTGTTTGTGACAAAGATTCAATTCTTTTGATGTTCCTGGGTTTAATTATTTGGTAAATTTTTCCAATCCAAATATGTATTTTCATTAAAGAAAAAATAAATTTTCAGACTTGGATGTGACATGTGAAAAGTCTGGGATGACAGTAGACATTGAGTTCTCTGCTCCCTTCAATGGAGTTATTTTCTCCAAGGGTCATTTTACGAACCCTGCCTGCAGGTTAGGAAACAAACACGTTTTAAATAAATATACACAAGACTAAAAGACTAAAAAAGCAAATCTTTTTTTCGTAAAATTTTTTTTAGTTAAAACATTAAAACAGTTCTGACAATAGATATTTACACAAGACAAAAATGGACAATTTTAAACAAGACTAAAATTTAAAATTTTCTCCCTAAATGCAGTTTATCCCTATCATATTCCCTCTTACCTTTTTCTTCTGTTGTGCAGTATGCATTTTAACCCTACACCCCTTACCCTAAGCCCCCCCCCCCCCCCCTTGGTTTGGAATTTACTTCTTGGAATTTAAAAGCGTGTTGGAACGTGAAGAATGCGTCACATCTACTTACATTTAAATCTTTCACTTCCCATTCAGCCGTCTCTTTATATTTCGTTAAACTCTCTTCAGCCGTCGCTTTATCTTTAGTTAAACTCTCGTCAGTCGTCTCTTCATCCAACGTAAAACTCTTTTCAGCCGTATATTTATATTTCGTTAAATTACTTTTAGTCCTCTATTTATCAGTAAGCCTTTAGCAGTGTCTTTATATTTCATTAAACTCTCTTTAGCCGTCTCTTCATCTTTCAATTAACTCTCCTCAGCCGTCGTTTTTTTATTTGTTAAACTCTGTTCAGCCGTCTTTTTATCTTTCGTTAAACTCTCATTTGTTGAACTCTTTTCAGTTTTAGTTTATTTCAGTCTCTTTCGTTTAAATATAGGGGTTTAACACTCGTGCTCCTCTGGCATTTATCTATCTATCTATCTCGTTATCTTGTTCGTTAATGAGGCAGGAACATGGTTCTGGGTTGTGCCTAACATATTAAACATTGTGAGTTTATATTCATTTATTCATTTGTTCATTTCTTATCTTTTCTCTAATAAACCACATATCTTTCGTTTAAAGGCCCCATCTTTTTCCTTTTACCTCACTCCCTACTCCCCCCCCTCCTCCTCCCCCACTGTAATCCATTTAATTGTAGATCTTGAAGGTTGACTATTTAGTGAAGATTTCGGACCAAGAAAACCAGCGACAGATGGTATAAATACATTGGATTCGTAAACTTCGTAATTTTGATCAACCACCAAACAAAACATATTTCTCATTTTTTTAAAGATTATTTGTTACAAACTGTAATTTTAAATCCCCCCATCTTTATAACCTGATGATGTAACCTGAATCATTGACCAAATTATCTAAAAGAATTCATAGTAAAAAGAAATTATTTTCTGCGCTATTATTAATAATTGTTAAAAATTACGAACTATCGAATTTATGAAATTTACGAAAATTTAACTTTAGAAGGAGGTCACTGTAAAGTGTTATTATTGTAGTTCAGAACAATAATAAAATCTGGATAAACCTTGCTTAAATACAACAATATATACAGCGGAACCCACAAAACTCTGGAATACGAAGACAACTATATAAAGTTTAACGAACATGAAACAATTTTAAATTGCAATTTTACGTAATAAGTTATTTTTAAGGATGTCGTCTTATTATTCCATAGTTTTATGTAAGTCTTTATACTCTTGCAGAGAATTTTTAAAGTTTTTAAGAGCCTATATAAAGACCGTGTAAAATAATACTGGACAGTGATCTTTTTCAGTTTTCTTCTTTTTTCTCTGTTTACTTTTGTTTTACAATCTTTCTTTTTTCTCTTTTCCATTCTTCTTTTCCTCTGTCACAAATTGCATGTATGTAAATTATTAAAAATCAAAATTTAAAAGTTTGATTTTTAACTTTTAATTTTTGATTTTTGCATGAACTAAACCTTAAAGTTATAAATAGAAAACAATCGAAATTCGTAAAATTTTCTCTCAAACATTTTTTTAACAGCCAGATCTTGAAAACTTTCAGAAGTAGCATAATGTTAAAATTAAAATTTTTGTAAAACCCGAAAGACCGTTATACCCCTGAATTTTTTCACTCCTGGCTGTAAAAGTGCGTGAATGTAAATTTGTGTAAAAAATGCAAAAACTCTATTCCTATTTTTAAACAAGACTCTCTTCAAGATATTTTAAACAAATTAAACTGCTCGTTAGTAAAACGCATACTTTAAACACACATTGGGAAGGACACATGGGGTAGTAAATGGATGGGGGGGGGGGGTTAAAGACGTAGAAACATTGAAAAGTTGAAGATAAATGATTTTTATGCATTCAAGTTCATTGCATCTTTTGATGCATAATTCGTGTCTTGGTATTTTTAGAGGATTATCGCCAGATTTTTGCGGATTACAAGGCGTTAATTGACTTTGCGTATTGTGAAGATTATCCTTGCTCTGTAGTTACTACGTAGGTTCAACCGAGTTAATTCTAAAAAGATTGGATTAAAAATATTTCTATAAATTTCATATAAAAACATATAAACATTATACTCTACACAATGGTAAATGACTTGTAGAAAATAATTTAATAAATAAATTTCTTAGTTCATCTAAAACCGGTCTCACGATCTACATTGTATTGATATCCTTGCTCTTAGGGGTCACCATGTGACTGAAATTTAAGATGATTGTTTAAATCCGCCCCATGAAGTGTAAACTGTACACCGCCATTTTGTTTTGTTGTTACAGCTGTTTCAGAGGAGATTACCCGCCATATTTATTCTATTAATTAAATCTAAAGATGCACATTGCACAAATCACATTTTACAGCGTCGTTCATAGTTATTTTTATTTCCATCTCATTGAATTATATTTGGAAGTTAAAGAAAGATGAATTTAATTTTCAATTCTTTTGTCTTTTTGTGCACACATTCTTGCACCTTGCATCTTGCAACTTTTGCATTCTTGTGAACGTCGGTAAAGTGCATATTTGTCAAAACTGTTTGGGCGGAATTCCCTACAAATATTTTAGTGCACACAGTAAAAGGTTGTTGACTAGATTTTTTTCCTAATTTGGTCATTTTGATTATAAGCCTAAATATTTATGTCTAACTGAGAAGTACTTTGTCTTCTATATACATATACTTTGCTTGTCTGTCCGTTTGTTTGTTTGTTTCACGTGACCTCAAGGCCCATGGGGCCAGGGGAGGTTTATGGATGTTAAAAATTTCAAAAATTAGCCTCCAACAAATTTTGGTTTTTATTAAATTTTATAAAATTTCATTAAATCCACGAAATTTATTATAAAATCCGGGAAATTTTGAAATAGAAAATGAAAGCCTAGGAGCCTATATTTCCATTAAATATGCTTTACTCTGAGTATTTGTATTCCGTGTATGAATATGTCTAATTGAGTGTATGTCTGTAATCTTCATATTTTAAGTAGTTTTCTAAACATCAAATAATCGTTTAAACAACCTGGTCTGATCAGAAAGTTTAAGAATTTGAAACATTTTGTCAAATTTTTTTTTGTGAATCTACCAATTCAAATAAAAAATGGCAGCCTGAAAAACAACATTTAACTACAAGACTATTCTATGCGTTTATGAGAATATGGATCACATGCCTGAATCTTTTGAAATGATTTATTTTAGAGTTGTTTCTGGACATATCATAAATAGAATCACAGTTTGCGCATTGTATTCTGGGTTCAGGGGCGAAAACAGCATTTTGTCCAGGGGGGGAGCTTTAAAAAATGTCTTGTGAGGAAAACTCCCTAAATAGATTTCAGTGGTTGAGAGAGGGGGGGAGTCCCAATAGCCCCCCACCCACCCTTCTGTATACGTCTCTTTCTTTGTTGTTATCAGTACACGTTGTTTAATGTCTGACCAAAAGTGTGCTTAGAATACAAAGAGTTTTGTTCTAAATCAAAAGACCTTTTGATAAATTTTGCCTGTAACATTTTTATGATTTTTTAATTGATAATAATTTTGAAATAAATTTGTCAAATTTTGAGCTTACATTTTTTAGTTTTTCAACTTTATTGCATTCTTTTGACTTTGTTGTATGGTTAATCTAGGTTTGAAATGTTTCTGCCAAGGTTTGAGAAATAAAACCTTGATCTAAATTTGTCTGAGTCTGATTTGAGTTTGCATAATGTTTTTGTTGTTTAGCTGTCCAATTGGTTGTCTGTTATCTGATTGTCTGATAGTCTACTTGTCTGGTTGTCTAGTTGTCCAATTAATTATCTGGTTGTCTGATTGTCTAGTTGTCAAATTGTCTAATTGTCTAGTTTTCTAATTGTTTAGTTGTATAATTGTCTAGTTGTCTAATTGTATATTTGTCTAACTGTCTAATTTTCTAATTGTCTAGTTGTCAAATTTTCTAGCTGCCTATTTGTCTAGTTGTCTAATTGTCTAGTTGTCTATTTGTCTAGTTGTCTATTTTTCTAGTTGTCTATTTGTCTAGTTGTCTAGTTGTCTAATTGTCTAATTTTCTAATTGTCTAGTTGTCTAATTGCCTAGTTGTCTAATTGTCTAGCTGTCTAATTGTCTAGTTGTCTAGTTGTCTAGCTGTCTAATTGTCTAGTTGTATAGTTGTCTAATTGTCTAATTTTCTAATTGTCTAGTTGTCTAATTGTCTAGCTGTCTAAATGTCTAGTTGTCCAATTGTCTGGTTGTCTAATTGTCTAGTTATCTAATTGTCTGATTGTCTAGTTGTCCAAATTGCTGTCTGGTTGTCAGTATAGAGTGTTTGGCCGGCTAGGAATAGAAATGAAGGATTTCGTTTGTATTATTAGACTGCCAACTAAACCAGGTGTTGTGGGCGAAGCCTGAGATTGATGGGTGGTTGTGGGGGTATGAGGGGGGGGGGTCGGTGCTTTATACGCTTACAAAAAGACGATTATAAAAATAACAATTAAAATATTCTTATAATTCTTTAAAATATAAAAGTAATCAAAATGTTAATTATTGCAGGATGTATATTGTTCAGGTTGTCTCTATTGCATTGATCAATGTTCATGTTGTCTCTTTGTTCATTGTAATGTTTATGTTGGTCTTTATGTTTATTGTTCAATGTAGTAATGGTGGTCTTTATGTCCATTGTTCAATGTTCATGTTGGTCTTTATGTCCATTGTTATATGTTCATGTTGGTCTTTATAGTTCGTTGTTCAGTGTTCATGTTGGTTTTTAGTCTATTGTTCAATGTTCATGTTGGTCTTTATGTTTATCGTTCAATGTTCATGTTGGTCTTTATGTTTATTTTTAAATGCTCTGTTGGTCTTTACACATATGTTCATTGTTCAATGTTTCAAGGCTCGTCTTTATTTGTATTGTTCAATGTTCATGTTGGTCTTTATGTCCATTGTTCAATGTAGTAATGGATGTCTTTTTGTCCATTGTTCGATGTTTATGTTGGTTTTTATGTTTGTTGTTCAAGGTTTATGTTGGTCTTTATGTTAATTGTTCAAAGTTTATGTTGGTCTTTATGTCCATTGTTCAATGTTCATGTTGGTCTGTATGTCCATTGTTTAATGTTATGTTGGTTTTTATAGCTCGTTGTTCAATGTTCATGTTGGTTCTCATGTCTTTTTTTTCAAGGTTCATGTTGGTCTTTATGTCCATTTTTCAATGTTCATGTTGGTCTTTATGTCCATTTTTCAATGTTCATGTTGGTCTTTATGTCCATTGTTCAATGTTCATGTTGGCCTTTATGTCCATTGTTCAATGTTCATGCTGGATTTTATGTGCTCATCGTTCATTTTTGTCTTTTATTGTTCAAAGTTCATGTCCTCTATGACAAAAATAATCAATTTTTAAAACAAAATTCTTGATTATCTTATTTATCTCAATGATTTAAGTCCTATTACAGGGTGAACCAAAAAAAACAGGGATTAGGATTTTTCAGCCCTTTTAATCCTTTAAACTACTTAAAAATGTGCGATAGTAAATGGTTTTCAATTCTAGAAAGGTTCGTTTAAGTAAGTCGTTTTTATCCAATCCTTGATCTGTTTGGTGAAAAACTATGGCGAATATTCGAAAAGCTCTCCGTTAAAATCAGTAAACCAATATTGTTTAAGAAACAAAAAATATATTTACATATATCTGATATTTATATATCAGGAGATATTCTTCTGGGCTTTCTCAAATCCAAGGTGTAAAAATATTCCTGAAACCCAGAACTCAAACCCTTTTTAAATGGAGAAGGCTTTTGGAATGTAAGATATTTTCCGACATTTATGATTAAGGAATATTCCTCTTGGTCCCTGAACATATTAAAGGGACTGTAAGCGGAATATTAAGTGACCCTCCCTGAAAAAATGTCTGATTTACAAGTGTGCCATTGAATCTTTAATCTGATCAAAATGTGGAAGATAACTGATAACTTCTACATTGCTTCTCATAAGCAAGAAATGCTCAAGTTACGTTCGCAGAGAAATTATAATAATCAATTTTAAGAAACAAAAACATGGATCATCTTAATATTATTAAATAATTGATTAAAAATGTTCTTAAAATAAAACAATAAAGCAACACAAGGTGGAAACCTTGAAGGTCAGGGTTTTCTCACCATATGCTTGTAATATGCTAGATGCTGGAGGGGGGGGATATGCTTATAACACTAACACCAGTATTCTCCAAGATTGGGCAAAAACATACTCTGAAAGATCCGCTCAGATGATCTGAATTTATGCAAAAACTTAAATGCCCTTTTTCAGAGACTTAAAGAATTCTATTCAAAGTTCTGAGCTTAAAATCTTTAGATATATGAACGCTGGCCAGAGTATAACTAAGTCAAGGTTTGAAATTCCAATGGCGGACTGCGGCACTTCTATATTTGAGGAGGAGGCAAGCAATGCCGTAGACAAGTCCGAGACTAAGACCGGGTTCTCCAACATTATCATCATCCAGATGGATGAGGAGGTTCAAGAGATTTGGGACTCTGCCCGCAAGATCAACTGTGAGTGGGTTAGCCTAATCAAAAAGCATGTTGAGTTCCAACCCTTTGAGGTGCAAATGCTTGACTTTAAGGAGGTTAAATTCCAGGGAGATTCAGTAGAATGCTTTATGGATCTCCAGGCGGGAAAATATCCAGAGTCGGCGGATATCACTGAAGCGGTGAAAATCGGTGAACCATTATCCCTCCTGGTGTATGCTCAAGACGACGAAGGAATGTATGATATTCATGTCAAGGAGTGCTTTGCATATTCTAGCGATAAATATGATTCCAATGAGACAGTAAAACTGCAGCTGACTGACGAGCGCGGGTGTGTCATGAAGAATAAACTCCTTGATGGGTTCTTTACTGCAAGAGAGCCCACAGAGAATGGCGGGAGCAAGATTGTTGCATACGGATATTTGTCCGCTTTCAAGTTTCCTGATGTGTTTGATGTATTTACTACTTGTGAGGTCGAGATTTGTAAAGGCGGATGTAATAATAAATGTGAGGTTCAGTCCAAAAATAATCTAATCCTTCCATCTGTTCCAATAGCATCATCAACAACAACACCAACAACAGCTCCTTTTAGAGAAGGCGTTGAACTATTTGGGGGTCCAATATCTTGTGATGAGCCAGATACTGCCAGAATTGACCCAAGATGCCGGCAACCAAAGAGTCTTGAAGAGGATTTGGACTGTGGGAATGATCCCTTCAATGATAAGTGTCCTCCAGACTGTCTCAGATTTACGGAAGATACTCGTTGTCTCCCAGACTGCGACTTGGATCCGTTCAATCCTAAATGTCCAGCGGATTGTCTAAAATACTCTGGACAGGACCCAAGGTGTCCTGTGGATTGTAACAAGGATCCTATGAATCCTAAATGTCCCCCAGACTGTAAAATATTTAGAGGAAAAGATGAACGCTGTCCTTGCAGTGCTAATCCCATCCATCCTAACTGCACCCCCGACTGTGCAAATTTTGGAGACAAAGACCCCCGCTGTCCTCCTGACTGCAGTAGAACTCCATTCCATCCCCGGTGTCCCGCCAACTGTTCATTTTTTGCTGGTCAGGATCCACGCTGCCCCTGCTCGGAGAATCCCCTCAGTAAAAACTGTCCCCCTGACTGCACTAGATTTGAAACCACAGATCCTCGTTGCAAACCAGACTGTGATCTTGAACCCTTCCACCCCTGGTGCCCTGAAGACTGTGACAGGTACACAGGTTCAGATCCCCGTTGCCCCTGTAAGAAGAACCCCCTGCACGCTGACTGTCCCCCTGTCTGCACCCAAAACACTGAGGACCCCAGGTGTCCTCCTGATTGTGACAGAGACCCCTTCAACGTGAGGTGTCCTGCTGATTGTACAAGAAATGTGGGGAAGGACCCAAGATGTCCCTGCTCTCAATTTCCTCTCCACCCCTCCTGCCCCCCAGACTGTCAGAAGTTTAGAGACAAGGATCCCCGCTGCCCCCCTGACTGCAATGCAAATCCGTATCATGATAAATGCGAACCTAACTGCGAGCTTTACACTGGGAAAGATCCAAGATGCCCGTGTGCAAAAATCCCTCTACATGCTAATTGTCCTGAAAATTGCAAACTGTTTACGGGACAGGACCCTAGGTGTCCCTGCTCCAAAGACCCAACACATGTCAACTGTCCTCCTGATTGCAGACAATTTAAGGACAAAGACCCAAGATGTAAAAACTTTTGTGTCGAAAATCCAACTGATCCCAGTTGTGAGGGAGTAGAACTTTTTGGCCAACCGCTTTCTGTCACTTCAACAACAATAACAACAACTGTTGTAACAACTTTATCAACAGCCAAACCAACAACAACTACAAAAGTGCCTAGAACCACTGCACAAACTCCCAGAGCTGGTCGTCAAAATGTACAGGAGCATCATGGACATCATGAAGATCATCATCATCATCATGGGGATATCCGCAATCACCCATTCCATAGCTTCCACTACGACCCTGGAGATGGTCGAAGGGGTCGTGGAAAGCGTCTTGGCAGAAGTATTAGTTTTGAGGCTGAACCAATCTCAGGTCGTGCCAGGTTGGCCCGGCATATCAAGGTGGTTTCACCTGATTCTGGCGTTCCTCAAGGTTCAAAGTTTGGACCCAGCTCTCTGGACTTTGACAGCAAAGACTCCGGACTCGTATGTTTGACCCAAGGGTCCTTCCTATCTGGAATCATAGTTCTCCTAGTTCTCCTAGTCATTGTTTTATCTGTTCTTATTTTCTACTGTATCCGAGAGCGGAGAAGAGAAGCATTGGATAAAAATTCAGTCATGTCAAATATGTATGAACTGCGAACCTAGACTGAAAGTAGCAAATTTTGCATAATGATAAGCTTTGTTAAGTTTTCCCCCTCTAAGCTGTTCCCCCTTTGTTCTTGTTTGTTTTTAAACCCCCCGGTGTTGTATTAGAATTAACTGTGATAGAGTTTTCCGAATTGAAATGCCATAAAAAGTGCCATAAACGTACCATTTGCAAATGCGCCATTCTAAGAATGCAATTTTATTTATTTTTAGCTGCCATAAATGGCTATTGTGTGTTGATATTTACAGCGTTTGTATTGAATTTAATACATATTTATTATTACCTATTTATGAAAAATATATTAAACAATTTTTACTTTATTTCTGCTCAAAACAAACAACTTTTATACTTTATGTTATACTGCTGATATTCTGCCAAAACAATAGAAAAAATTTTACTGAAAAAATGTTTTCTGCAAGTGCAGTGGACACAACTTTAGAAAAAAACTTTGAAGTTTGATGATTTTAAATTTTGTACTAGCTTGGGATTTCAGAGTTGCCAAGTTTGTTCATAGTTTCTCCCGCCATTTACCCGCGCTTGGTCTTAAATTACGATTTTACTTATTTAATTTACTCAAAATCTATAGACAAAGTTAAGAACATTCCCATGGTTTTCCCGAGTTCCCCAATCATAATTTGAGGCGATTCAATTAAGGGTTTCATGAGTTATGATCGGACGTATAAACAAACAATGAAACAGAGAAAACTACTTTATATTTCTTGTTTCTAGGTATAAATTTTAATTGTTTTACTAATTGTCAACTACCGATCTTAATTTTTAAATGAATATTATTATTATTTTTTTTATTTTTCTTATTTGTCTTTTCTTTCAACAAATTCCTCTAGATGATCATATTTTGCTTATTCAGTTTTAATCAACCTTTTTACGAGTTAGATATCCATTCATCTATCAGTCATACGTATATCCATATCAATCAGTAAACTATCTTTTATTTTATCACTATTAGTCATAATTTCATGAATATATCCATTAACAAGTTCTCTTATATCTGATATATATATAAATATCAGTCATATATATATATTTATATATATATCAGTCATATATATATATATCAGTCATATATATATCCAAATATTCTTATCAACAATATATCCCTCTATCAATTATATATACCACTATCAGTTATCTATCCCTCTATCAGTCATCTTTCCCTCTATCAGCCACCTATCAATATATTTATCTGTCATCTGTGTACGGTCTGCTAGGTTGATCAGCTCTATATTTACCAACATCTGTCTATATAATCAAGATTAGATTGACATTGATCATGACATTGAAATCTTATGTCATGAACCAACATCATTCTTATGTTATCTTCAACCCACCCCCCACCCCACTCCCAGGTTCCAATAATTATATAAAGTTGATATAAAATTGATAAGAATGTTATTCAAGAAAAAAATCTGTTTCAAGCGAACCCCTATTTAATTATTGGTAAACTCCATTCTCAATATTATCAAATAAACATTTAACATAGCAATAATAATGAAACCGTCCTCTTTTTTCTGACCATTTCTAGCTGGGTTTCTCTAGAAAGGCGAAAGATATAACGTAATATACAGAATTCAAAGCTATTTAGGACGGGAAACTTTACAAAAAGATACATGAATTCAACGCTATTTAGGACGGGAAACTTTACAAAAAGATACATGAATTCAACGCTATTTAGGACGGGAAACTTTACAAAAAGATACATGAATTCAACGCTATTTAGGACGGGAAACTTTACAAAAAGATACATGAATTGCATCAATTACATGCAACATGGCGTGAGACAATCTCCCTGTATCAGATCTCATAATTATATCTAACAATTTAAAAATTATGATTAGGTTTTATCTTCTTGTTTATGTCACAAGCTTATCCTTGGTTTCAGGTTTCTTCATGTCAATTTGTTCCACCTTAACACCTTAACTAATATCGTAAATCCAAGTGGCAATCTAATTGAAATGTTCCAGGCATGATGCACAACGGTACCCTTTAACCCTTAATCTGAGGAAATAGAGGAAGATATCCTCGTTTTTCTTCCTTACATCGTATTAAATTGTGAAACTTGGAGGGTTACCTACAACGGATGAGACTTCAGAGACGACTGTACAGAATTTATATTGTCTGATTCCTTATATTCTTGATTCCCTGCAACTATTAACTTGTTTATTTCCTTGCTAAATCATTTGATAAGCTAAAATTTTTTTATACCGATTTTGATGGTGATTATATCGTTAGAACTGACGAGGGTCAACCCAGACCGAATTATATTTTCAATAAATGTGAAACTAACCTCTACTTTTTTACACTGCAAAGGTTTGGTCCATCACCATCACCGAATTTTTAATGATAAGCTATTAAAAACCAAAATTCAAGGCAAAGACTTGAATTAACCCTTGGATCTTCATAATTTAAGAGTTGTATGTCGTCTTTTTTTCAATTTTTAGAAAGAAAAACAAGAAACATCTTTGTAACTTTTTAAGGGTACCATTGTTAATCACGTTAACTCTTTAAAGTGAGGATCACTTGAAATCTCGTGAACAGACCCTTTAGATCAGCTAATAAAACTACATAAGTTTATCAAATCCATGATATTTGTCTATTAAACAAATATTTTTGTTAAAGAAAATATATTTCTCCTTGGTTTATAACTAAGTTCACACGTCATATTCTGCACTCTGCAGTTGGTTATTATATAAATCTTGGGAAGGTTAAATCATGACTTCTTTGATGAATCTAATAAAAAAATCATTGAAGAATCTCTCACGTTTTAAATATTTATGTTGTGTAGATAAATTACATCTTCTCCTGACTTTTTTTTCAATTTTGTGTGTTCAATGTTCAGTGTTCGTTTTGACTAAAACGTTGGTGGATTTTGTGGAAAAGAAGTTTGCGGATATAATCTGATTTAGAAAAATATTGCGGTTGACAAAATTAACCGAAAATAGATAACGAACTCTAGTTGTGTGGGAAATTGCAGATCTGGACATTAGATGTAATTAATGATTGTATCAAGCTGTATGAAAAAGTTTTCTATTGTATAAATGTTTCGTTCATTGTGAATGGAATGTTGGAAGTTTGGAAGTTTGGAAGGTTGGAATGTTGGAAGATTGGAAGGTTGGAAAATTGGAAGGTTGGAAGATTGGAAGGTTGGAATGTTGAAAGGTTGGAAGGTTGGAAGGTTGGAAGGGTGGAAGGTTGGAAGGTTAAGAGATTGGAAGGGTGGAAGGGTGGAAGGGTGGAAGGGTGGAAGGTTGGAAGTTGAAATCTTAAAATGTTGGAAGGTTGGAAGGTTGGAAGGTTGAAGGTTGGAGGGTTAGAAGGGTGGAAGGGTGGAAGGTTGGAAGGTTGGAATCTTAAAATGTTGGAAGGTAGGAAGGGAGGAAGGGTGGAAGGTTGGAAGGTTGGAATCTTAAAATGTTGGAAGGTTGGAAGGGAGGAAGGGTGGAAGGGTGGAAGGTTGGAAGGTTGGAAGATTGGAATGTTGGAAGATTAGAAGGTTGGTAGTTTGGAAGGTTGGAAGGTTGGAAGGTTGGAAGGTTGGAAGGTTGGAAGGTTGGAAGGTTGGAAGGTTGGAAGGTTGAAATCTTGGAAAGGTTGGTAGTTTGGAAGGCTGCAATTCTAAAGGTAAGGAAAAAACTTCAAGTTAATTTGAATAAGATGATGATGATTTAAAGAACGACATTAGTTAACACACTGCAGTAATGTGTATAGACAGGAACCAGCTACAACCAATGGGTTACACGCTTTCAGGCCAATTGAAGCTTGGAATGCAAGGCTACGCATTCCTATGCAAAACTGTTTGTCTAGCATAATGTGCGTTTGTTCAAAATAATTATTTTTATTTTTATTTTTAATATTAAAAACAAGATTTAAAGACTTTTTAAATGTCAAGGTGTATAATTGATTCAATGATCGATCATGAACAATGCTTTTAAACAGATATATATATATATCTAGAATTATATACACTATCTATATATATGACTAACTATGTTGTCTGCCCTCTATGCCTCCTAGGTGGCAAGGTATGCATGTAGACCATATTAAGGTATGCAAATAAGATCTATTTATCTATCTATCTATATATCTAGTCTATCCATTAATCTATCAATTCATCCCCATTTCTTTCGATCTTTCTACTTGTCTTTCTGTTCATCTCTATGTATATGTATATGTATAATCTATATGAACACGGTATGAATCTATCGATGTATGTATCTATCTGTATATAGACATAAGCACTATTTAGCATCTATGTATAATGTGTATCTACATTCTATCTAGCTGAATACTATTTTCTGATTTATCTATCTGTTTATGTAATAATATGCTATAGCGAAAACAATTTCAGTTGAGTTTCTAATCCTCATATCTTTGAATCCTGATGGGGTAAACCTTTTATGTTTGAAATTTAGAATATTTAATCTAACAGAATTCAAAGTTTAATATATATCAAAGGTCTATCTCATTGAAACGATATTGAGATTAGACCATCAATGTTTTCAGTAAGCCTTTAGGTTACAAAAGTATGACAACCCAAAAGCATATATTTTATTTTTTCATTCTTTCATGAAAAAGATAAACCTGCCCCTATATGTAGACCTGTGGCACGTGCATTATTAGTAGTAAAATGTAAAGTTTTGGCCTACTTAGACCTTGGGGCCTGAGTTTACGGCCTGTATAAAGTTAAAAAGAAGTATATGCGCACAACGCTTTATATATATCTTAATTATAAACTAAGGAATGTGCATTGTGCATTGTAGAGAGTATAGAAGGGGGGGGGGTGCAGCTATAGATAAAATCTATCGCATTTTCTATTTAATTTAATAAAAATGCATGTTAAAGATTGTAACTGAACATGGGTTCCTTTTGCACATTATTATACATATTTCTAATTTTATTTAAAATTTGTTTGAATACTTTTTAATTAAACTTTGTTCTTACCCTTAGAAATTACAGCTTTTTTTAAATAATAATTAGAATTCTATTTTCTTATCTTTAAGCATGCTACAGTGGAATAGGAAGACGACTTTATAGCAATACTTTAGTGTATTTGATTTTGTTACAAAGTAAATAGTTTTACTAGACACTTTTTAAATCACTAATTTAGTGATATGGGTCTGTTTACACTGCACAATTGCTGTTTTCCATGCTCATAAGTTGAGTCTAAAAATCGTCTTCATATTTTAAAGTTTTCTGGTCATAGTTGTAACAAAGTACATTTTAGGTTTTTTTGTTTCAAATGTTTTCTTTAATATTCTTGAATATTGATTAATGCTGGTTGGTTTGTCCAGGTATATAAAGC